ATTGAGGTTTTGAAGGTTGTTGGCACAGAAACCCAGAAATCCTGGCACCAACTCAGACCTCACCTTCCCTTTTCCTTTCCATAGTCAACCTCCCAATTTTGTCACTGTCACCTACTAGTTACTTCTGTCCCTGTTGTCATTACCAAAGCCTCCTAATTTCTTCTTTGTAAATTTGTTAAATTATGCTTATTGAGATAACATGGATTTATAACATTGTGTTTTAGGGGTACAGGTTCACACCCCTACATATGTGTTACCACAACACACCCACCACCAAAGCCCCAGCAACATCCACCATCATCCATTGGTCCCTGCTTCCTCTCTCCCAACTCCCTCTGGTACCTCATTATCTCTTGGTTACTACATCAATACCCTCCTAATTGATTTATTCCCATATTTAATTTCCATCTAAAATGGGCCTCCCTAGTGGTGCAAGGGGTTAAGACACAACCTATGAAGCTATCCACAGCCACTGCAGCATGAGTTCTATCTCCCACCAGGTAGCTACCCACATGGTGCAGCAGATCTCTCTTGTGTCCCCTCAGCAGTGGATTTCAGTGGATCCACCTGTTCTGTTCCCCACTCTGACTCTGGTGAGTCCTCTCACCCCCGCACCTCTGGCCTGTTCCCCAGTTTTGCATGCATAAATAAATCTTCAAAAAAAAAAAAATGGAACCAAAGCACTCTTGCTTAGGACCTTTTAATCCCTTCCCATTATCTATAAATTGCTCAACCCTTTGAATGCTAAAGAGAACTTTAAAAGTACAGTCCTGTCTGCCTCTCCAGCCTCATTCATGCTCCAGGAGCACAAGATGATTTGTAATTTCCTGAAAAAAAATGTTAATTCAAGATTCTTGGGATTTCCCATACTATTATTTGTACCTGGAATGTTCAATATTTGCCTTTATAACTAAAGTTTTATGTCCAGTTTAAGAAATATTTAACTATCCGAAGCTATAAAAAACCTATAGAAAAAAAAACAAACAAACCTATAGTACCTTCTAGAAGCAATGTTTTAGATTTTTGCATTTAGGTCCACAGTCATTCAGAACTAATATTGTTTAAAACATATGAGCAAGTTTCAGGTTTCTTTCTTTCCACATGGATTTTAACTTGGGCCCAGTACCATTAATTGAAACAACCATTGCCCCCACATCACTACCGGATCACTCTTACAGAAATACAAAGTTCTCATACACATCTGTTTGGGGACACTATTCAGTTCTGTAACAGGGTGGACCACAGGAAAGGTGGGGGGGGTTGTGTTCCAGGTTCCCTGCCCCACCCAAGGGAGGATGAAGCTAAGCAGGGAGAAGAAGCTGGAGAGGAGCCTGGGGCAGGAAGGGAGAGGATGGGGAACAGGAAGAGCCTGGAAGAGGCACAGGGGGCAGAGACATGTGAAGAAGCTGCACCTGCTTCTTGGTCCTGGACGGGATGAAACAGATGTGGGGGAGGCACCCATTGGGAAGTGACAGTGGCAGCTTTGATCTTGATTTTGCTCTTTTCCTCTCAGACTTGTCTGATGTTTCTGCCCCTTTCCTATGGGTTCCGGCCAGAACGTGTCTTAGACGTGACAGTCTTCCAGGCCTCAGAGGCCCTGCTTTGGCGGACATTTACCCATGAGGGGATGGGTAACTGTGGGTGCTTGATTTAGGAACTCTATTCTCCCCCTTGTCTACATTGCACACTAATCTTATTCAAGCTCCTTTCCATTAAAGGAAGGCCCTACACACTAGAGAACGTTTTGTCTTGATGTGGCAGATGGCAGAACCTATTTAGAATGGGCAGGTTTTGGGGTTCTGGGGTGCCTCTCTCCCTGCCCTGTAACAGTTCCCTTGGGCTACTTTCTAATATCTATTAGTATAAATCCTCCAACTTTGTCTTCCAGATTGCCTTCGCTGTTCTTTACCATTTGTATTTCCAAGTAAATTTAGAATCAATTTTGTCACTGTGCACATATCCGCACAATCTGCTGGAATTCTAGTTGAGGAAAACAATTTTACAATATTCGGTCTTCTGACCCATGAGTGGAGTTCATCTATCTGTCCAGTTACTTGGGTCTTTTCTAATTTCTCCCGATGAAATAATTTTCAGCATAGAGTTTCCACATCTTTGATTAAGATTTATTCCCAGGTGTAATAGGCTGGACAGTGTCCCAAAGATATCAGATCCTAATCCCTGGAATCTTCCATGTTACCTCATTTGGAAAAAGGGTCTTTGTAGATGTGATTAAGGATCTTGAGAAAAGGAGAAAATTCTGGATTATCTAGGTGGTCCTGGATGTTACCAGTGTTTATAGGAGAGAGGGAAAGCCAGGCAGAGGACCCAGCCCTGTAAAGATGAGGCAGAAGCTGGAGTGACGGGCAACAATGCCACACGCCCAGACATCAGGAGGGAGCGCATCCTCCCTAGGTCCTCTGGAGGAAGTGAGGCCCAGTGGACACCTTGACTTTGGACCTCTGCTCTCCAGAACTGGAGGAGCATGCACTGGATTTGAATCACAGAGTTTATGGTAATTTGTTACAGTAGCCATAGGAAATATACAAGGTAACTGATATTTTTGATACATTTGATTATGGCCTCAGTTTCAAAACTAATTCAAATTGTTTCTAATTGTTTATTGCTGGTATGCATGTGTGTTTATAGATAGATAGGTAGATAGAGATATACACAAATAACTGATCTTTAAATACAGCTTCCTGCAATTTGCAAATTCTCTCATTAATACCAAAAGTTTTATAGATGATTATAATTTTATATGTACACTATCCGTGTTAGATATGATACACCATCTATGCTTTATCCAAATAACAGATGTATATATTTCTTTCCAATCCTTCCATTTTTTCCCTTGCCTTTTTGGGATTGCTGGGATGCCCGACACAATATTGAGGTCCATGCTCTAAAATCTTGATTCCAGAACTCTCAGAATCTATTTTCTGCTCCAAATTTTAAATACAATGAAAATACTAAAAAAAAAAAAAAAAAATTTAAAGCAGTCAAAGTAACATCTTCCTCGTTAACGAATCCAAAGCCCTTTAAAATTCATTCTCATAACCTGCATCACTAGACACTGCTCCTTAGCCCTTTCTTAAGATTTCTTCTTCCTGCTCCAGATTCTTCCTTCTTGCTCACTCCTGAGAGATGCAGGCGTCCCCAAGACGGTCTTCTTCGGCCTTTTCTCTTTCTTAACTGTCTGGTAACTGCTGGGAAATCATATTCAAGTACACTATGGCTCCTCAGAAGCAGGACAGCTTTGGGGGCTTCCTTCTTTCAGGGTTACAGCAGAAACTTGTTCTTTCCTCTCTGGAAACACCCCAACCCTCCCTCCCCTTGGTTCTTCTCCCCCAAGGGAATGTGGGCTCCTCTCTCTGCCTTCTTTGCTGTACTCAAGAAAATCTTGGACACTTCGCTTTTTTTAGGGTTTCACTAGTAAATAGAAATTAAAGTCCCTGAGTCTTCACAGCGTGTGGCCTAACTCTGTAGGCAGAAGTTCCCTTCTGGAGAAAAGTAAGGGGAAGGCTTTGCAAAGCTGGGAGCTTTGGAAGCTGGCTGCCCTGAGGCCTCTTTGCCAATTCCCTCAATTCAGGTGCTGGCTGCCCTGTGTGTCCCAGGACCAGAATCGCTGACTCACATCCACTAGCAGCGTGTGTATAAAAACGAAAAAACCAATGCATTAATTCACAAGGGGCAATGTAACTGTCAAGGGAAATGGTTTCTCACTTCATTTGGCCAGGACCTTCCCTCCTTGTAGAAAAAATATTAAGATCATATTCAGAACTGTACTTGCTCAGAGGGAGTAGAAAAGGTTCGGTTGGGCGGTGCTACATTTAAACGCATTATAGCAGGTTTTCCAGGAGAGGAAACGACCAGAGGCAGACAAGCCCTTTACCTGCAGGGAGACTCCCCCTGCCGGCGGCCCTGCCAGGTCTGTGCTCCCCGGGGCTCCTTGGCTGCGCTCCCGATGGAGACATCCCCGCTCGCCCTCACGGAAGGCCCGCGCTGGCGAGGCGGCGCCTGTCAGCTCTCGCCCACTGTGTGCCGAGCGGCCAGAGTTCTTCCAGGACCGCCTGGGCATCCGTGGATGACCCCACCTCGGCGCCCACCTCAGGCTCTGCAAGCGAGAGGCCTCACTCAGTCGGGAGGAAAAGAGATCCTGATTAGAGAAGAAAACCACACACAGCGCCCCGTGCCAGGCGGCCTGGCACACAACAGACGTCCTCAAATCTGGTGAAGGAAAAATGCAGCCCCTGTCCCTTCCCCAAGGCGAGGAGAGGAGTCGCAGGCCCACCTCCCCCCGCCCCGGAGGGGTCTGCGCCCGGGCGGGGGCCGCGTCCCGACCCGCCTCCCCACAGCAGCGCCCGCTCCCCAGGAGAACCCCAGAAACTCAATAAACAAACACAAGAGAGAGCGCACAGGTGAGAGGAGGAGGGGGGAGAGGGTGTGCGTTCTGAGAGACCTTTTGGCCTATGGCGGCCACCGCCAGCCCCTGAGCGCGCGCCCCGCGGCCCCCGCGGAACGAGGCCCCGTTCAGGTTCGGACGCAGGAAACGCAGCTCAGGCGCCCGCGAGGCGCGCTCCGGCCCGCCCCCCCCGCCCCCCCGCGGCCCCGCCCCCAGGGCCCCGGCAGCGCCGACCGCGCCGAGTCGGAGCCGGTCCCGCCGCCGCCGCCGTGCTCGCGCCGCGCGCGCCCCGGAGCGCGTTCCCGGGGACCCCGGCCCTGGGCGGCCCCGGGCGGCGCGGCGCGGCGCGCGGGCGGGCGGGCTCGGGCCGGGCGGGGGGTTCCGGGCGCGGCGAGGGCGCCCCCCCGCGGGGCGGGGAGAGCGGCGGCGGGGCGGGGCCGGCGGCGGCGGCTGCGCGGCCCGGGCGGCGGTGATGGCGGCGCCGCGCTGACACCTCCTCCTCCGCCGCCGCCTCGTCCCCGCCCGCCGCCCGCGCGCCGAGCCCGCTCCGGCCTGACGCCGCCCTCGCCCGCGCCCCCGCCGCCCCGCCCGCCGCACCATGCCCGGCATGATGGAGAAGGGGCCCGAGTTCCTGGGCAAGCCCCGGGCGGGCCCCGGCGGCGCCAAGAGCCCGGCGGGCGGCGGCGCGGCGGCCACCAACGGCGGGCTGCCCGCGTCCGAGCCCGAGAGCGGCGGCAGCAGCGACGACGAGCACGGTGGTAGCTCCGCGCCCGCCTCCGCGCCCCCGCCCGCCGCCGCCCCTCCCCCGCCGCCCCCTCCCCGCCCGCCGCCCGCCGCCCGCGCGCCGCCCGCCGCCGCCTCCCGCGCGCCCGCGCCGCGGTGGCCGCCACTCGGCGCCGCGCGACCCCCGCCGCCCGCCCGCCGCGCCGCGGCTCGGGGCTGAGCGTCCCCCTCCTCTCTCTCGCCCCCCTTTTCTTTCCTTTTTTGCATTGCTTTGCAGATGTTGGGATGAGAGTCGGCGCCGAATACCAAGCCCGGATCCCCGAATTCGATCCAGGTAGCTGTGTCCGTCGGCGCCGGTCTCCCGGCCGGGCGCGGGTCGGGGCGCGGGGCCGGCCGGGCGCTGGCCCCGACCCGGGCGGGTGGGCGGAGGCGCGCCCCGCAAGGTGAACCCCGTGCCCCGGGGGCCGGGGCGAGGCCGGGGGGCGCCGGGGAGCCGGCCCTCGGCGGATTTGGGGCCCGTCCGCGGCGGGGGGGGCGGGCGGGTGCGGGCCCGGGAGCGGGCGAGGCCGTGCGGCGGGGGAGAGGAGAGGGGGCGCGGGCCGCGCGGATGCCCTCGGCCGCCGGGGGCGGAGGCCCGGGGCGGCGGGCCCGGCCACGCCGCGCCCGGCCCGGCCCGCGCTCCCGGCCCCGGCGGCTCTGGGCGGCTCGGCGGGGTCGCGCTGGCGGCGCGGGCCCGGGTGGGCCGGCGGGGGCGGGCGCGGGGAGGCCGGGGCGCGGCGCTCGCCCGCCCGCCCCCGAGCCCTCCCGCGGCCGCGGCCGCCAGGGAGACATTTGCCGCGGGCCCGGGCTCCGCGCCCTCCGCGGCCGGCTGCGGGCTCCCTGTCTACTTTTCTCCAAACAGGCTCCCCGGCGGTCACGGGATTTCAGCCCCGACGCGGATTGGGCCAGAGTTCCGCATATGGAGGCGCCCTTGCCGGAGCCTCCGGGCCCAGCGGAGCCTTCTCCGCACCCCAGCCCGGCCCCTGCGGCGCAGCCTGCGCCCGGAGACGCAGACAGGGGCTCGCCCGCGCGCTCTCTGCTTTCTCCCTCTCTCTCGGGGCGGCTCGGCTCTGGCCCGCGCGGAGGACGCGTGTCCGGGTCGGGCTCGGAATTCGCTTTGCTGCTGCCAGGGCTGACGGGTTTGCTAGGGTAGAAGCCGTGCCTTTGATGACGGGGTGCAGACGGGGAGGTTGGCTCCCCCCGCGGCAGCGCAGAATGACATTTACCGGCCGGGTCGGGGCGCGGGGGGGGGGGGCGGGGGGGGGGTCGGCGCGCGGTGGCCGGAGACTCCAGGTTCCCTTGAGTACAAAGGAGCCGAGCTCACTAGATGGAGTTGTCTTCGCAGGGACGCGGCTGCGCCTCCCCTTTCCTCACACGCTGCCGGGGCGGGCGCCGCTGGGCTGCAGAGCCCCCGCAGTGTTTGTCACCTCTGCCCGGTGCAGGGCCGAGCTGGGCGGTGGCTGGCACGGCCCGGCTGCCCGGTGCAGCTCCGCATTTGGAAGCTTTGGCTTTGGCGGAAGATAACGCATTGAGTGCCCAGCGTCTAGCTTTGCTCCGCGCATGGCACGGGACATTCTTGAGCCTCAGTTTCCCTGGCTGTAAAGTAGACTTAACAGCTCATGGAATTCCTGCCGTGTGACAACCCTGGGCTAAGGGCAGCTGCTCTTGTCTTAATACGAAGAATGACTGTGTACTTGCCCGCCTTTCTCATGGGGGCTTTCAGCACAGCTCTACTTTGGGGGTCATTGATGACGTTTCCATATCGGAACTCAGCAGCAGAAACCATTCCAGAAGTTAGTGCCACCCTTGTCCCCACCCAGTAGGTCCGGATTTCACAGGCAGCCGGCCCCGGGTGGGTGCGGGAGGCTGTGCAGGAAGAAACTGACCGTGCCTGGCTGCCCGCTGCCCTCGGCCCCCCACGTTTGGTTTCACGATAAACTAAACGCAAACAAATTTCAAAAAGAATTAAAAGCGCCAAATACTTTTGAGGTGGTTTCCCACAGCAACGGTGTGTTGCCCATTGTCATCAGATGTTGCTCATTTTGAACTTACGCAAAATATTTGTGGGGGAATCACGAAAGTACCATTATATTTAAAATAAAATTATATTTGCAGCTTCTTTACTCTGACCATAATTGACACTCTGAGGGTAAGGACAAGCGCCACTTCCTGAAAGTCCCCCTATTCACTTTCACCTTCATAATCTTCCCCCAGAACATACAGAAACCACAACACACTGAGCCAGTTGCGGGGTAAGCTTAGGTGGGCTTTTCTAGAACAGATATAATTCTCTATTAGCCAGGATTTATAGGAAAACTGAGCCTCAGCACCCTTGGGCTTGGTAGCACTGTGCTGTTTTACTGGAACTGTTAGCAATGTTGTGTGAATTTTTTACTTCCTGTCAACTCAGTGTAATTGGGTGATGATTTAAACACATTTCCTAGGAAAAGATAAAAGAGCAAAGGAGATGCTAATGATAGAAACTGAGAAAGAGGCCCTCTCTGTCCTTTTTCTTCCCAGTGTTTAATAATCCCCCAAACCTGTGTTCATGGAGATTGTTCACCTGAGGCCATGCAGCCCATCTGTAAGAGAAAATCCTGGGATGCAGCATTACTCTCAGGGTGTAGGGGAGTTAAAAGAGGTTTTTATTGGGGGAGATAGTGATGATAGAAATTAAGCACAGGAATTACTAAAATGATTATTTTTAGAAAACATGAGAATTGGGGTTTGTGTTGGAATTAGGAACAGTTTATCTTAATTAAGGAGCCAGTTGCTAATTTATAATTGACTGGCTGGATTTGTTTGTTTTCTTAGGTACCTTTTCACACTTGATTCTTAACAGGGCCTCCAGCTCGTAGGTAGGTAGGGCCTCCAGACAAGGCCTGACACCCCAGCAGCCTGTGCCTCTTCTCCTGGCCCTCTGAGCCCCCAGGGCAGTGACCTCCAGTGAACTCCCCAGTTCATCAAGCTTTCATTTTCTTATTAAAGGAAGCTACAGGTTTCTGCGATCAGTGAAAGTACAACTTTTCCTGTGAAACCATTTGCATCTAAATGGCCTGAGTGAAGAATTCTTATTCATGTATATGGAAATTTTTTGAGCATTCCCAGATCTGAAAATTAACCTACCAGATTATACCAAATGACATTTAAAACCCAAAACCGCACTTGATCTGGTGAGACAGAAATGATCTGATAAAGTGGAAATAAAGTCTGTCCCAACTGTGGTCCACTTACCTGGTCAGGAAGATGAGCACACTGAGCCCTGGGGCTTGGGGACGCTGGGGTGTAGAGCGACAACGCCTCACCTATTGATTCCTAGTCCTTGCCTGATTCCATCAGGGCAGGTGGGTCACCAACGTCCACACCATCTTTCTGTCTGTGACCTGCCCAGGCCAGAGGAGGAGGAGCTGCCACTGTGCAGGCTTGAAATAGGGCCACGGACTTCCCTGCTTAGCAGCCTGCCTTTTTCTGTCATGCACTTCTCTGTAAGCCTCAAAACATCTTGCAAACCTGCCTGGAAACTCCATGCCCTTCAGAATCAAGGTCACGCTTGTCTGCCATCATTGCAGCGCTGTCTCTTGGCTGCTGCGCATCAGTGCCTGGGCCACCTCACAGTGGGCCTGTGCTCTCCCTGTGCATTCCCGCTGGCATCCTTCTCTTTGGCAGTTGTACCAGCTCTTTGTCGGCATGCCAGATTCACATATTTTAAATTTGATCTCTGTTATTTATGACTGAGTTTAAGTAGTTGAAAATGTTCTCTCCGGTGTGTGAGAAATATTAACGCTCTGAAATAAAGCTGGAATATCCCTGTTTTGAGTGCATTCGATTAAATCATGATAGTAATAGCATCTGCTATATAGTGTTGAGTAGGCTCCTAACACTAACATTAACTTTGTTTCTTTTGTCTTTGAATTCACCTGTGCGCATCTCACCTGCTTGCATCCCTCCCCTCCGATTGTATATGTTTTGTCTTTGAAAGTGCTTTCTCACTTAGATCCTAACTAGGTGCCCATTTTCTCCACCATCATAATAGTATTTTTGTGAACATAAGAGTCTAGGTTTTAAATGTCTTCTGGCTGGAGTTACCACAGTTGACACCTGATTGGTCAACGGTACACTAGCCAGGTGCCTTGAGGGATAGAGGCTCTCTTGGTTATTGGCCACTTTTGGGGCATTGCCCTCCAGAGGGGGAGACCCACTGTTTTGTTTTGAGTTGGGAGAAGGGCGTTTGTGGAGCAGGATGTCAGAGGTAGATGGCATGTGTATCTTATATATGCAGAGGAGTTCTCAGCAGTCCTGAAAAGTCTTTCCCTTGAGACTGATTCCTGCTTCTGGGCCCTGTGGGCAGTTTTTGTCACCACAGCTTGAAGTTCATGAATTAAGTATATAATTTAGAGCCTAGTTTACAAATAGCAGGATTTTGAAAATATTTAGAGCATCTTAATATTGTCAGTATTTAAGTTCTTTACATAGTATATTTATTCAGTGATCGCCATCAAAGTCCTTCCCTTAAATGCCTGAAACAGATTTTTGCTTCTGTGCTTATTTTACTGATGCTATAGAATCCCTGGTTTATCAAAATTTATATTTTGGTTTTTGTGGTTGGTTTTCCCCATCATCATTATAAAGTGCATAGATACACTTATCAACTACAGTTAAGATGGTCTAAAAGATTTTGGAGAGATTAAGCTTTCAGTATTTCATTGGATAGTTTTAAAAATGGATTATTCATTAATTTCACTTTCAAAACTCACGTGTCCTTTAAAATTCTGTAACTTGCTATGTGATTTTGGTTGATTGGTTTTTAAAATCCATTCAGAAGATAGAATGCCTGTACGCCTTGGTTATTCTGTTGGCTACTCCAGTTTGAGTCTCAGTTTTATTTTTGAGTAGGAGATACTTTTATTGTTACAGATGACAAAAATATTGTTGCAGATGAAATAATAAAATAAAATAAACCATAGATCTGTGTCATTTAAATATTTCAGTTCATCTCAACGTATTAATAGCTAGACTTTATTGGATGCAAAGCCTCCTGAGGAGTAAATTGTTTAAATAATACAAGTAACTTTCTCCTTTTAGAGGTGAAGAATCAGGTCTGTGTTGTCAGCTCTTCAATCTCATTTTCAAAGGGCTGGTGAGAGTATCAGCCCTCAAGTTAGTATCCATGAGGATTTGTTCATCTATAATTTTAGCTGACTGATTAGGTCAGAAAGGTCAGCTTTGATGAGCCTATCCAGAGAGGAGTAAGAAGGGAACTTAAGAAGGAACTTCAGTGAACTGTACTAGTAACAACTGTAAGTCTTAGCGCTTTACATAATTCATTCATTTTTAATAACTATTCATTGATTTCCCTAGTTCATGAATTCATTTAGTCTTTGATCAGCTCTCATCACCCCTGTTTTTAAAGATGAGTTCATGTGCTCCCAGGAAGGTTAAGTCAGTGTGCCCAGGGTGACAGCTGAGGTTGTGGCTGGAGTGCGGCTCCCCTGTGGTGACACTCTTCACCATCACGCCAAGTGCCTCTCAATTCCTGAGACCAGGCCATCTTGCACGCAGAGGACACATCCGTGGTTGAAAATGGTGCCGTTGCTCAAGGGTTAAGGACTGATCACTGAGCTGTCTCATTCCCTGCAGCCAGCAAGGGCTTGCTGTACGCCCACCTGCCGCAGTCCCACCCAAGGGTGCCTGTTCGTGTCAGATCGGGCCCTTAATTACAGTGCTAACAGTGCTTTTGGAAACTTACAGTTATTCTTCATGGGGAAGAATACAAAAAACAAATTTATATTTGTTAAAGAAGAGACATTTGATGAAAACTTTTTAATTCAGATTTTCCGTAATGCAAGAGTCAGTTAAAAGGAAATATGTTTAAATGTGAATTGAAGCCTGCTATGCTATTAAGACTTGACACTTACTGGAAACCTTTCTCTGTTGCAGTATACAGTCTATTAAGTGGGATGTCACTGTTAAAAAGCATCCTCATGTTAAAGGATGGAAGTTTAGGATACTTACTAGAAATAGTAATAGATTTCATTAATTAAGTAAAGGCTCCTTACCAACTGTGATTGGTTGTTTTATTTCCATTGAGTGGTTTGACTCTGTTGCTTCTGTGTTTTTATTTTATGTGGTTAAAAATTAAATATCTATCTTAATATTGAGTAGATAACTTAACATTTATTTTCGTCAAATACAAATTTCAGTATTTTACTCCATTTGTGCCCCCAAAGATCCTTGTGTTGGCATGCAGTAGGTTTTGCTTTTAGACTTATTTTGTAATTATGGTTTTTCTACTACTTGGATGGTATTTTTTTCTCATATCTTTTTTCTTTACCCTTAATTTTTCCTTGTAATAAAACACATAATTTTAAAACAATTTTAGTGTCAGGTTTTACTGACAGTGTATTATTCACTAAAAGTTGTGGATTGAATATACAGTAGTGATGTGTGATGATTCTCAAAAAAAACCCCAGGATGACACTGAATTGTTATTTGATAGCCAACTTCTCTAGATGGAGATTATTACCCTGGAAATGAATGTTCTTTATTTCATATGTCTTATAATTTCATTCATAAATGATAGTACTTTAACTTCAGAATTCTGATAACATGAGACTAATTTGTGTGTGTGTGTGTATATATAGAAGAACTAGGGTGTAGGTCAGAGATGTGGGGGAGGGAGGGGGTAAGAGGATTCACCAGAGACAGAGTGGGGAGCAGAACAGGCAGATCTACTGAATGTACTGCTAAGGGGAGCAGCTGGCAAGACAGGAGAGGTCTGCTGTGCCATGTGGGTCAGCTCCCTGGCTGGGATCGAACTCAGGCCAAAGGTGATAGTCTGAGACTTAGTCCCTCGGCCACCCGGGAGGCCCATGACTCATTTTGGAAGTCTAACCATTCGTTGTGGCTTTTAACCCCTCCTAAAAGTGAATCATGAGATATTCATAGACAGAGGTTCTCAAAACAGGTGCCAACACTGCTTCATTTGTTGATAGTTTTAATTAACTTGAAGGTGCCCAAGAATTAGGAAGAAGCCAGAGAAAGACCACGGAGTAATTAAAAGGAAGAGCCAACACACGTGTCCTTGGCTCTGGGACAGCTGTGTCGCTTTTTGCTCATTCTGCTCACTCATTTACATGCGGTTTTAATGAGCTTGATTTTTCTGACGTTTTAGATCATAACAGGAATGCATTTGAGTGAATTGGGATAGTGTGTTTCTAGATTACAGGCCAGCTCTCATATTAATAGTGTTCTGTTGTTTTCTTACATGGAACACATACTTTTAGAAATATAAAATGTAATAAGTGAAATGAAGTCTGAAAAGGAATAGCTGGCACATTCCTAGCAAGGAACGAGGTGACATAAAAACCATCTGAAAGCAAGTGTGACTATTTAAAAATGAAATACAATTAAAAAAATTTAAACAGTAATTTGGGCCAAACATATTGGGCAAAAGAGCATTAACCTGCCACCTGAGGTCTTCTCCCTAGTTTTCAAAGTCAGAATTTTTAATGACTCCTAAATAATGTATAGAAGGTTAAATCAGATTTATTGAAATTTTTTTAAAGTTTATTTATGCATTCAAGAGTTGGGGTGTAGGCTAGAGGCATGGGAAGTGAGAGGATTCACCAGAGACAGAGTGGGGAGCAGAACAGGCAGATCCACTGAGATCCATTGCTGAGGGGAGCAGCAGGAGACAGGAGAGGTCTGCTGCACCATGTGGGTAGCTCCCTGGCAGGGTTCAAACTCATGCTGCAGTGGCTGCCGATAGTTTCATAGTGCTGTGTTTAACCCCTGCACCATCAGGGAGGCCCCCGTGGTTAAGTCAGATTTATTCCTGTCAGGGTTATGCATATATTTAAGAAAGCCTTTATTTTTATTTTTTGAAAGCCTTTATTTTTAAAGGGGAAAGCTTCAGTTTTTGTGAAATTCTCTTCATGTCCATGAGCTGCTTATTTGCTGTATTTAATATAAATCTCTCTTTGTTTGCCTTGTTTCCTGTACTTTGTCTTTTTTGGGTTTGGGCAGAAACTGGACTAAACTAGAAATAAAGCTTACTGTGTTCATACTGTGTGGATGTAAGTCAGGTCCCTCCTCCTCACAGCTGTTGCTCTCCCCAGGTGCCACCAAGTACTCGGACAAGGACAATGGAGGCATGCTCGTCTGGTCCCCCTACCACAGCATCCCCGACGCTAAGTGTAAGTCCCCAGACTGGTCACGTGGGCGGGGCCAGCGCCTCTCGAAACGTCCATCCCCATGATTTCCGGTCTCTTACATTCTCTTAAGAAAGCAGTTTGTTTTGTCTTCTTGATGGAGGTTGTTCTTGTAGAATGTTCTTCCTTTAGAAAGAGGAGAGGGCTGAGCCTCGGGTTCGTGTCAGACCCAGACCCAGGAAGACTGGGGAGCCTGGGAGGTGATGTGCTGCACAGACCCTGCAGCAGGGAGGGCGTTCACCACTTAGACGCCCCTCAAGCTCTCCTCAGTGTTGGTGCCAGACGCCAGTGCCGCCGTCCTTACCATTGCAAAGAGGAAGGTGAGAGCTGAGGGCAGCAGCTGTGTCTGGGCCACCTCTGTGCTCTTGGGACAGACCCTCTGGGTGACCGGCCATGGTGTGACTCAGACCTTGGTGTGACATAGCCAGCCCAACCCTTTGCAGCTGTCAGATGTAGGAAGCTCGCAGGTGACAAGAACAGGATCCCCACCCCGTCAGGTAGTCTAGAATGGCCTCTCTGAACCGTCTGGCAGCTGTTCCTGCAGCTGTGAGACCAGCTTGTCTTTTCAAAATACCAACTAAATCTTGAAAGTACCGGCGATGGTTTGTTTTATCCCATGATGATGAATGGCTGGTCACACTCACCGGTGCCATAGGAGAGCCAAAGATTGGACATGGCTCCTTCCTCAGGCTCGCTGGCCTCCCTTCTCTAGCAGCAGGAGGGCTCCTGGTGACCTTGAGCCCCTTGCCCTTGAGGTGCTCTTCCCAGGAGACACCACGTTCATTGTCCATTCAGCCTGCAATGCGACAGTCGGCGGCCATTGGGTGTGTACGGTACACACAGCCTGGGTCCTATCACAGCCTGAACATGGGGTGGGGGCATGGCTTTCACTCTGGAAGCCTCGTATACAGAAAAGAAAGCCAGAAAGCTGGCACATTAAGGTGTGGGGTGTCCGTGTGGGCTGTCCCATGGAGGCTTACACTGTGTTTCTTAACCCTGGCTGTGCCTGCAATCACTTACTCCTCAAACCAGCTAACGCAGAATCTCAGGGTGGGGTGTGGACCCATTTGAAGGCCCCTCCTATGGTCCCAGTGAGTGGCCAGGGTTGAGGGCCCCAAGCCATGCATGCTGTCCAGCCTTCTGTCCACAGCTCGAGGCACTTGTTGAAGTCAGGCAGCTTCCACTTAGTCCTGCCTGCCTTCGTGCTGCGGGTTCTAAGTAAGATGCACTGTTTGGATTTTTTGCAAGAAGCTTAGGGAGATATAACAGGATCCATAACCATAAGAAAGCTCTCCTGCTGGCGTTACAGTGGTGTGTTTCTGTATTAGACCGTGCTGTCCTGCTCGTCAGATAGCAGACTCTTGCCAAGCACTTAGGATGTGGTTCGTAAGATACTGTTCAAAGCACTTTACAAACATTAGCTCATCTGCTCCCAGGAGGAAGGTCCTGCTGCCATCTCCAATTTAGAGCTAGGAGACTGAGGGCCGAAAAGGCCAAGTTACTTGCTGAAAGTGAGGAAACTGGTGGCAAGGCTGAGGGTCAAGCCCAGCCAGGCTAACTAATGGCGACCAGCCAGGTCGCCATTCTTAATCGCCACTTCTCAGAGATGTGCTTGAGGAATTAAGCAAAATAAATGTTTAGTGTGAGGTGTCTGGAAGGTGACACAATGAATCCCATGTAAGCCTGAGTCTCAATGCATGTGGGGTGGGGACGACCTGGCTGCAAGGCCTGGAGAGAACCGGGCATCTGGCCTTCAGCTGCCCTGACTGGTCATGCCTGGGCATGATGGCCTGGGAGGGTGGGTTACGATGCCGACTTCAGACAGCTTTTTGTGTAGCAAGTGGAAAGAACTGGAGAGACACCAGGGGCCCCAAAGTCATGTGTGTTGATCTTATGTGGAGCTGCAGAATCACACATGAGCCCCCCTTTCCAGCAGGTAGAAGTGGGAAGGGGATGTGCTAAGGTGAGCATGTGCCTTACGCAGCTATGTCTCCTGAAATAGCACAACCTCAAAGCCCAGCCACCTGCTGTTTCACACGGTGTCGGGCTTTGTTGGCCTCTCGGGTTAATTTTTTTGGTACAAAAGTAATTACACGCGTGACACCATATGGTGTAGAGCCCGTGAGTGAGGCACTGTGGGCCCAAGGACATGCCACTAGGTGACACTTGGCACCCAGCGGGCTCGCAGCCCTGCCCCTGTGAGTCTTTTTGTCACCTTCACTGGAAAATGGCTTTGGCTGGTTTTTTTTCACCCCTGGAGTTACAAGGTTTTATTTTGCTCTGGCACATTAAGAGGGTGAGAGTCACTGATGCACCCCTTCCTTGCAGTGGACGAGTACATCGCCATCGCCAAGGAGAAACATGGCTACAACGTGGAGCAGGTGCGTAGGAGGCTCGCGTGGGCACGGGCTCCATGGGAAAACCACCCCATCTGGCTTCTGCCCTAAGAGAGCCCCTCACAGCATCCCAAGGCAGCCTTGCCTGACCGCTTGGCACGAGGATGTTGCTTCTCTAAACGTTCTCTGTCTCGAGGGCTCCAACACTTGGCTCTTGATGCCTCTGTAAGCCCTAGGATTAAGGCTTACAAAGAGAGAAACATTCTTTGAGCACAAGTAATTCCCTTGACTTTTTTTTTTTTAAAGATTTATTCATTTATGCATACAAGAATTGGGGTATAGGCCAGAGCTACAGGGAGTGAGAGGACCCACCTGAGACAGAGCAGGGAACAGAACAAGCGGACCAACCGAAATCCACTACTGAGGGGAGCAGCGGGGAGACAGGAGAGTTCTGCTGCGCCACGTGGGTAGCTCCCCAGCTGGCCAGGGATCGAACCTGCGCTATAAAGGCTGCAGACAGCCTCACAGTGCTGCTCAACCCCCTGCGCCACCAGGGAGGCCCCCCCTTGACCTTTTAATCTTAAAAATTCAAGAGACTTTTTGTTTAAAGAGATATTTAAGACTTAGATGTTCCAAATGGAATAATTCACAGAGGACTTTTATTAAATAACTTTAGGAGGTAAGTATTTAACATACACATATTTAACACACACATAAAATATCTATGGCATATGGTTCATATCCCTAGTAATGAGGGACTGGTGATAATGGAAATATGAAAATGACATACTGTTAAATCTCATTTCAACTAAGTTTCACATCAACCTTTATCAGATCAGAATTAATATTAAAGTACGTGAATCACCCGGAACCTGGATTTTTAAGTGCTAAAGTCATATGGTTAAATCATGAAAAGTTGTGTCTGTGAAATTTGAGGGGTTACTTTATTTCTAAGTAGATTTTTGTGGATTTTGAAGCCTTGGATGATGAATTTTGTTTTTTAGCCTTGACTTTCTATTTAATATTCATGTGAGAAAGTTTAATCTTTTAAAATGTGACTGCATTCATTTCAATGGACATATTGGAGAAATTAGCAAAAACTCACTATTTAAAAAATCACTTTATCTCTTCTTTTTTTTTAAAGTGTCCTCTAAATATTCTCAGTCCCTTGCAGTAAAAAAGGCTTGTTAGTTACAATGGAAGGGAAAGTGGTAGCAGTGTTGGAAGTTGTCTATTTCAGGCTTTCTTATGATTAAAGTGGTGATAAGTCATTCTTAATTCTTGGTGTGTTACGACATTTAAAAACCTGCCACAACACCTGTGGTTAAACACACCTGCAGAGTGAAGCACTTCATCTCCATAGCATGCTCAGCCCAGGGTAACACCCAAAAGGTTCACACTTAAATATTTCTCTCCTGTGTCTCAACCGAGTCCTCTAGTTTTGTGTTAGAATTGATAGTTTCACCCAAGTATTGATGACTAGATTTTTTCTGCTTAGCCTTTCTCTCTCCCCACATTGACAAATGAATAAACGGGGTGAAAATCTCCACCTGAGCTTCCGAACAGGCTTTAGCCATTAAGTCAGTCTCCCCAACTCTCTGCTCCCTGGATCGTGCAGCAAATCTGGTAGGTGAGATTTTTTTCGCTGTCCCAAGGCCCCCGTTTAAAGGGAAGAAAGAAAGGAGGCCCGTTGCTTGCCTCTGCTAAAGAGCCCCAGGCTGTGAGTGTGTCATGAAGTCATAGGTTTAAGGTTTCAAACTAACTTGTGTTTGACTTTTTAAGTGTGGTGGGACCTGAGTCCACTAAAACCAAAGGGGATGGTTTCTCTTCAAGGCGCTTGGCATGTTGTTCTGGCATAAACATAACATTGAGAAGTCCCTTGCTGACCTCCCTAATTTCACTCCCTTTCCGGATGAGTGGACCGTGGAAGATAAAGTCCTATTTGAACAAGCCTTTAGTTTTCACGGGAAGAGCTTTCACAGGATTCAGCAAATGGTATGGTGATTTTGGTCTCCTGCTAATTCCTACCTAAATGTATCTTATGCTTTTACTAAACACTTGTGATTATAGGAACAGAAAGACTTTCCAATCTAATTTTACTGTTTAAAAGTAGTTTGAAATTTATGTATTTGCATACAGTGCTATTTTCACAACAATGCCTGATAGTTAAATGCAGTTTCGTTGTAATAAGTTAATTTTTATTTTGACTTAAATATGTTTAATAGAGCTTTAAATGTTTGTTGTTCCAGGAAAGAAATCATAATTTTGGTTTTAGTTTTAAACATTGCATTTTTTTTAACATTGGGATTTTATTTTCCAATTTATATTCCTTTGGATATAAAAACCAATTTTTCAGAATTCTGTGTTATTTCTGTATTATTTAAGTATTGTTCAGATGCTGATGTCTTTTAGAGGAGAAAAACTGCTCTTTATTTCTGGCTCTTACATTTTTATAATAGCCTGAAAATAAAATAATCCAGAAACAGGTCTGCATTAAGCTCTTGTAACCTAAATGGAGGAAGATCAGACAATGTTTACAAACATGCTAAGTGTCTTCCATAATTAGAGAACCATTTTGGTGGGGAGCGTGGTCCTTGCTTCCCTGCAGGACAAATCAGTGCATGACCATTAGTCATTTTCATGCCCTGAGACTTTATTTGGTAGCTAAAGTCTGTTTGCATTCTTTATCATTTTAAAACCCAGATTAAAACAAAATGACTTAAAGAATCCACTGTTAAGGACTGAATAGTTTTTCTTCAAAGCATTAAGTGAAAGAAACCAGACATAGACGGCCACGTGGGGTGTGATTCCATTTATATGAGGTATCCAGGACAGGCCAGTCGCAGAGGGGAGGAGATGAGCTTTTGGCAGGACGGGGATGGGAGGGGGTGGGGGGTTGGGGGTGGGGGGACGTGGCGGTGGCTATGGTCTCTGAGGTGCCTGGTACCAAGGACGGAGGGCAGAACCTCTTAGTGAAAAAATGCTGAATTGTACACTTTCAGCAGGTGAATTATATACGAAATAAATTACATACGAATAAAAAATTTCTCATTCTCAGAAGTGAAAAAAACTGAGCAACTCTTTAAGGAAAGCACATATTGACCTCCCAGTGATGGAGCCTGGAGCGTCTGGGCCATTCTTCCCCCGTTAGCTGGTGCCCTGGCAGCCTTCCTGCCCTCTACCTCAGAACAAATAGGAATATTCTTCAGGGGTGTCAGTAATGTAGGTGTGACGGGAGCTGTGGCTGGAACGTGCTTTTTAGCACTCTGATTGGTACAGGTGACTGTGACAGCATTTTTCACCTGTGCCTTTGTGTGCTAAGCTTCAGAGAATGTCAGAAAGAGCATTCATCCTGTTATCAGAGCTTGTGATTAAACTATTAACCTGCTGTTTCTTTTTCAAGCTTCCAGATAAGACAATTGCTAGCCTTGTAAAATATTACTATTCCTGGAAAAAGACTCGATCAAGGACAAGCCTGATGGACCGCCAGGCTCGCAAACTAGCAAACAGGCACAACCAGGGCGACAGGTAGGTTGGCGCTTGCGTGGTGTGTGCTCGGACCCTGAGCTGGGCTCATGCTCTTGAGTCAGCACGGTGATCTCCGCACGCCTGGGTCCGCATCCCTAGCGCTGCCCTGAGAGGCAGAGCGGAGAGAGCCAAAACCTTAACGGGAGGATCTCTCTGCCCCTTCCCTGCTCATCGGCCTCAGACATTGTGTCTGGAGATGTCTGAGCTGGGCAGAGGGCTCACCTGGGCTTCCTGTTCTGCTACCGGTGCTCCAAGGGCATCCTCTAGGGGGGCCTTCCGGCTGCCACCGGCTTAGCAGCTGGGGCCACTTCACCCTCTCTCTGGTATCACATCACTTTCCTTCCTGGTTTTATTCTGTTTTTACCCCTCACTGGAGAACTGGCATGATAACAATCTATCAAATGTATCCTCTTGTCCAAGCGCTGCTTCTTTTTAAATATCTTTGCTATTGGGAGTCTTACTCTTAAGCTGGAAATGTTGCTAAAGTGACTCTATATGCCCAAAAGGATAAATGTTTCTCCACACCCCAGATCTCTGCTAGTCTTCCCTAAGACAGCTCTTGTTCTGTGGGGGAACATTCAGCAAAACGATACACAGGGTTTGTCATAGGTTGACATGACGCGCTCTGGAATAGACAAGGGAAGTAAATTTGCTCTGTTTGTTTATTCTCAGCGATGATGATGTGGAAGAGACACACCCAATGGATGGAAATGATAGTGATTATGACCCCAAAAAAGAAGCCAAGAAAGAGGTAATGCTGGTCCTCCTCTATGCTTATTCTGCAAACCCACACAGAAGCTGGGTGGCGGGAGCAGCGCTCGTGGAGAAAAGCATTTTGATAGAGGGATTTATGAGCTGGCAAGTCTCAGTGTTAACGGGAGGCTTTTAGGAAATAGTAATTCCTGAAACTTCTGTTAGCCCAGGGTTTAAGTGATTTGGGGGTTATCTTATCTGCTCAGAAGTTTAGAAGTCTTCGTTTTTAATCCATACACAAGAAATAAAACCCCCTTCAGAGGATGGAGCATTAAGTGTAAAATTAAGCTTTCTGGGTTTGCAGCCTCATTTTTCTGAAAACATTTCATGTGTTCCATGTAGCAGCAAATTAGAAGTTAGCTCCACTTTTAACAGCAGGTATACCAGCAGGCTAGGTCTGGTGTACCTAAAAGTTGGAGGCTGCCTGGGCGGGAGAGATGGGTGAGGCACTGGGGACAGCAGTGCCCATGGGCTCCGAGACCACATGAGGAGCTGGCCAGGTTGCTGCAGGCGTGCTTCTGAGGCCAGGAAGTAGGCCTCATGGCTGACAGCTGTGGTAGTAGAAGTGACTGTGTCATCAGAGACTGACTAGCTCCTTTTCTTGTTGAATGAGTCCCCATCCTCATAGGAAACGTCAGGCCCTTGACCACCTGGCCCTACCACTTAAGCTCTTTCAGCAGTGAAAGTCCTTACTATCCTGCTCTTAACCTCCCCCATACACTTGACTCTTTTACCCTGCTCACTGTCCTTGCGCTCTGTCCCCAAACTGCCCGTCCCCAGAGCTCAAGGCCAGCAGCCCACCCCAAAGATGCCCTCCTCCCAGCCCAGGGCCCCATTCCCTACAGTGAGTTTCCTGCTCCCTCTCCACAGCCCCGAAGAACACGGGCACAACTTTCCCTCCTACTAAGCGGGCAGATGTCAAGCTAGGACCCTCAGCTTCCCAGCCCTGCACTGCTTCAGCCCCTCCCTGGACTGCTCCGTGGAGGTCACTCTCCCACCCAGCCCACTCAACCTGGGCTCTGTGAAGGCCAGAAGGACCACAGCCCAGCTTGTGTGCCCTGGCTGCTGGCACAAGCAGGTGTCACCAGCGTGGTGACAGGAACGGTGCTCTGGGGGTCCTGGTGGGACAGTCTCTTGCCCTGTTCTGTGTCGCTCTGGGCTGATTGGCGCCCCTGCCCCAGCCCTACGTCTGGGGCCCCTGCCCCCCATCTGGGGCCTTCTCCATCAGTTCTCTCTGTGCATTTTCATCCTTCCTGTTGCCTCCCATGTGTGTCCAGGCTGAAAGCATGGCCCTCTCATCCTGGCTGGAAACCCAGGCCTCACCAGCCCTGCAGCCCCATGTCAGACTCAGGCACCATGTCCACTCCTGGCCTTGGGCATTTTAAGCTATGTGCCCTGGTTCCCGAGAAGCCCGGCAGTGGTGCCGCCCTCTGGCCCTGTGTGGAGCCACCTCTGGAAGGCCTGAGCCTTCCAGTGGGACTGCTGACCGAGGTATAGTCCACAGGTGATGCTCATGGCAGTACAGCGTGGCCACCTTCATCCTCCCTGCGCAGTGACCATGGCCAGTCGAGGCAGCATCCGTTAATTTACTCTCCCGACAGCGCCAAGTGTGCAGCGGGTGCCTTGATCCCCTCCTGGGACATCCTCCTGACCCTCCCTCGCTGTCGCTCTGTACTTGGCATCACTGGTTTTGATTCTCTTAAATAGCTGTAAAGTCTGCCCTTTGCTTCGTCATCCTCTGTGGCCGCCTAGGTTTTAGGCCCTCACATCTGTCCTTGTCTGCGCACTGCACCTGCCGGCCTGACCCAAGTCGCGAAACAATCTTATTTCCACATTAATTTGCATTTCCTTTATAGAAATTTCTATCACCTGAGCTCCTCGCCATCCTGTTTCCTTTGGGCCCTCAGCTCCTTTTCTTTCTTCCCTTAGCCTCGGCAGGGCAGTGAAGAGTCGTCCTGATGTAGATAATCCTGCTCCTGGTTTGGGGGGTCAGGTTTGTTTCAGCATCAAGAAGGGTGTTCATGAAAGTGTCCAGTTCCCTTTGGTGGGCTGTGGTGAGCCAGCGTGCGCCCTGTGGACCTGTGGGGTTCTGGCTTTTCAGCAGGGGCTGTTACCCGGGTCACCACCCCCAAGCTCAGTGCGAGCTCAGTCCTCGGCTGTTTCCCAGCCTCACTGCTACGTTCTGTTGCCTAAGCTGGTCCAGAATCGAGGGGGAATATTGCCCCGACCCCCTACTTCTCAATGGCTGGCACACTGAGGAATTTGAGGGCTTGTCTTTAAGCCTCCAGGCCTCTGTATGGCATTTTCCAGTATTTCTTCATGAGTGCTCAGGAGGACAGACACTGGTTTTGGGTTTTGGGGCCTCAGATGCGCTAGTGACCTCTGGCTGAGCCCTGCACTCTTGCTGGCGGCTGCTTATCCAATCCTCTGACTGATGGGGGAGCGGCAAGGTAAAGATGTTGGGAAGCTGCTGTTCTAGGTGCCCAAAGTCACAGGCGTTGTCTGTTGCAACCAAATCAAAACTAATTATTGGTATGAACGACCCTCACACTCCTGCTTCAAAGGTTGTCTTGTCCGGCATCCTCTGCATCTGCTATTGTGAAGTATTGGCCTGAGTGTCTCAACTGGAAGGTCTGGGCCTTCCCCCTTGGGGGAAGTTATATTTTGTCTGTTCATCCCCTTTATAGTGATCTCCGTGTGTATTTTCATCTTTTGTTTGTTTAGCTTTTTCTAGTTTCTTTCCCCTCCTTCATGGTCCCTCTTCCCACACACACTTTTTTTTTTCTTTTTTGGATTAAGAAATCGCCTCTCATTTCATTGTTCATGCTCTGGGGCTGAGCTGTTTCTGTATTTCTGTTCTTATTGTGTACTCTGGAAGTTTCATCCTGCGTTTTTAACTTAGATTCTGGTGTGGGTGTCTGAAAGGAAAGTCTGAATGTCTGTTAGTGCAAGGTCCTACAGATAGTTGACTTCACCCTCACCACCCTGATTTATATACCATTTGTCCAGTTTTAGTTACACCTTAGTTTTTTTAACTCTCTCCAATTTAAGCATAGAGTATTTGTTTAGAGTTACCCACATGTTTAAATTTCACTTTGCTCACCATTCTTTCTTGAATATTAGACCTTCCTTTGAAAATAATTTCCCTTTTTCAGAGATGTATCTTTTGTAGGTCAGTGTAGTGAGAATCATAAAGCAGTCCCTGGTTGTGTTTAACATCCCTTTCTCCCTTGTTTTTTTTTTTTTTTTTTTTTTTTAAGATTTATTTATGTATGTATTCAAGAACTGGGGTACAGGCCAGAGGTGCAGGGGTGGTGAGAGGACGCACCAGAGACGGAGTGGGGAGCAGAACAGGTGGATCCACGGAAATCCACTGCTGAGGGGAGCAGAAAGGAGCCAGGAGAGGTCTGCTGTGTCATGTGGGTAGCTCCCTGGCCAGCTGGGATCAAACTCATGCTGCAGAGGCTGCAGATAGCTTCGTAGTGCTGTGCTTAACCCTTTGTGCCACCAGGGAGGCCCTCTCCCTTGTTCTTAAAAGCTCAGTTTTGCTGGGGTCAGACTCCTTGCTTGATTTCTGATGTCTGGTGTCTGCTGCTTGTAGAAGTCTGCTGGGAGCTAATGCTGTTCCCTAGAGACAGTCTGTCTTTACTCTCTGCTTGCTTTTCTGGTCTTGTCTTTATCTTTAGTGTCCTCTAATTTCTCATTGATGTATCTGAGTATGGTTTTTTTGTTGAACTCGCTTTGGCTTCATTGTACTTCCTGAATCCTTTGTCTGAAGTTCTGTCCATTTCTCATATGCCTCCTCTTTGTGAGTATTGCTTCTCCCTAATTCTGTTCTTACCTTGGAACATTCTTTTTTTATTGAAAGATTTAGTTTATTTATGCATACAAGAGTTGGGTGCAGGCCAGAGGTGCAGGAGGTAAGAGGATTCACTGGAGACAGAGTGGGCAGCAGGGCAGGCAGATCCACTGAGGGAGCAGCAGGGAAACAGGAGAGATCTGCTGTACCATGTGGGTAGCTCCCTGGCCATGGCTCGAACTCATGCTGCAGTAGCTGCCAGTAACTTCATAGTGCTGAGACTTCACCCCTGCACCACCAGGGAGGCCCCAGAACATTCTCTTTAGATGGACCTTCCTCATCTCTTACCCCCTTGTTGTACCCTCTACCCACCTGTTCTGCCTGGGGCATCTCTCTTCTCAGCATTCTTTTTTTTTTTTCTTTAAAGATTTATTTATTTATGCATACAAGAGCTGGGGTACAGGCCAGAGATGCTGCGGGGGAGGTGAGAGGATCCACCAGAGACAGAGTGGGGAACAGAACAGTCAGACTGACTGAAATACACTGCTGAGGGGAGCAGTGGGCGAGACAGGGGAGGTCTGCCTCGCCATGTGGGTTTCTCCTGGCTGGCCGGGGATCGAACGCGTGATGCAGAAGCTGTGGATTGCTTCATAGTGCAGTGCTTAACTCCTTGCACCACCAGGGAGGCCCTCTTCTCAGCATTCTGACTCTCTGGTCTCCTCTGGAGCTCTGTCCATCCTGCGAGGGACAGTCCACAGTATCACTAGCCTGTGCGTGTCTTTATTTCGGGGTATTCTTTGTGGCCCTTCTGCGAGCCCCATCTGCTTGTTGTGGTACTCCCCTCGACACTTTCTCAGTTCTGTATTTCCCTTCTCTGCAGATTGATGCCTTTCTTGCTGGTGCTATCAGAACTTCTGATGTGCCCTGTGAGGGCCGAACTGCCCGTTGGGCTCACCGGCTCTTAAGGGTCTCAGGAGCTCATTTTCCTTGTTCATGTGGTAACTCTTTGAGACCCAGATTTAATAGACATACATTATTCTGCACACAGTTTGCATTTGCTTCTGCAGAGTATCTGAAGACCCTACCGAAATGACATGTATTACACTAAGTTTTTGATTTTGGGTTTTAGATAGGTGATAGAAATATAACCCCCAAACCTGCCTGAATATGGGCCCCTAGGGGTAGGGAATCTGGGGAGATGTTTTGGGTTCTGTCCGCTCAGCTGAGGCCGTGGAAGGCAGGGCTCCCGAGGGAGGGTGCTCACACCCCCTCGTGCCCAGGGGTCCCCTGCCGCCCTGGTATTGTCGTCTGCTCCTGTGACTCCATCTTGGTCCTTCCAGGGCAGCACAGAGCCACCTGTGCAAACCAGCAAGATCGGGCTGGGGCGCAGGGAGTACCAGAGCCTGCAACACCGCCACCACGCACAGCGGTCCCGGTGCCGCCCACCTAAGGGCATGTACCTGACCCAGGAGGACGTGCTTGCCGTCTCCTGCAGTCCCAATGCTGCCAACACCATCCTGAGGCAGCTGGACGTGGAGCTCATCTCCCTGAAACGCCAGGTATTTATAGACACGGGTTTCTGGGGATGCTGGCATCTCACTCCCCTGTCCTCCTCAGCACCCAGGGGTGCTGAGCCACCGCTCACGCCTCCCTCCCACAGGCCTCATTGAGTGGGTTAAGTCCCAGCACCGCTACCCTTAGCTCTGTGGCCAGGGGAAGAGCAGCTGCTCCCTGAGCCTCAGGCCGTGTCTGTGAGGCTGGGGTCATGCTGGCCTTGTGGGGGTCAGCGATAGGTGAGGTGGTGACGAGCTGAGGCTGGCACACTGGGATGTGAGTGCCAGCTGCTGCCTGTCTTTAGTGGCACCAGCCGCCCCACAGCAAGAGCATCATCTCCTAAACAGGTGGCAGCTGCGTCTGCCCCTGGGGATCCAGAGCTGCTGGGCCAGGGACCCTGAGTAGCTGGACCTGAGCTCCAGCTGGGCCCCACCAGGCACTTCCTCTGTAACCTTGGAAGAATGTACTTCTCTCAGTAGTTTCCACAAAATAAAATGCAGGCGGTGATGTGGTGGTTGGAAGGGATTAAAGAAGAGGCTGCACTGACGTGTGGTCTCACACTAGCCCCTCATACACAGCAGGTGCTCAGCCCGTGGCCCCTGCCCAGCCTCTCCCTCTCCCTGTCGTTTCTGCCCCTGCTCACCTCCGCCCGACTCCTCCTCCTCAGTCTTCTGAGTCTGCTTTCTTGATCCCTCTCGCCTGACCTTGCGCTCTGCCAGTGGTTCTGAGCCTGCTCCACTAGCGGAGCCTTTTCTCCTAGGCTCCATGAATCCAGCTACCTGCTGGGCAGCACGCCCTGCTATCCCTCACTCACGTACACATATCACATAATGTGCTGGTGACCTCAGTTCACTGTCATGAGCCAGCCACAGCCATGTCCACAGCATAGCCACAGCTACATCTGCAGCCCATGCACGGCATGCCCATGTCTACAGCCATGTCCACAGCCGCATCCACAGCGTGCCCACAGCCACTGCTGTGAAAATTTCCCATCTGACTCAAGCAGCCTCCCGCTCCTTCCCAGTAACTCAGGAGCTGCGCCTGCTTGGTGCCCACTGCACTCAGCGGCCTTCAGATGTCCCCTGGGGGATGTCGCATCTTTCTGGTGGCACTTTAGGACTTCTTGCCCCATGCTTTCTTCCTATCGTTCTCACTCCCACTGTGAAGGGTTGTGGCCCTTGTCTCGGGCTCCTTTTCCCCGGTGCCCCGGGTTTATTGCACGATTCTCATGGCATCATGAGCCTGCCCACCTATCAGGCCCAGCACAGCTGATCCTCCTTGCTCCCAAGAGTGTTGTGGGCTTGAGCATTGTGATTTGTTCCCTGTGAAACACCACGAGTGGCATTTTGTACCCAATTAACACCAGCAAACATTATCCATCCTCGTCATTATTATTACTGGAGTAATTGTTATTTGATCAAAACACGATAGTAATGCCAAAGATTGATGGAATTTAATTCCTACATGTACTAATAGCATTTGGTTTTAAGGGATATTTATAGAAGATATTCAAGTATATGACTTGTGAACTGTGTCTTTAACCCATGAAATACACACTTCTATAAATGGGTGTGACAGTTGGTATCCCGACCATGCATGGTACAGTGGGGTGGCTCTGTCCTCCTGCACTGGAGCTGCAGAGGGTCTGACACTGTCCATCTCTTGTTGAGTGCTCTGGCAGTCTACTGTGTGTATGATCTGATTCATGTTTTGGGTTATTTTCTTGAAGGTTCAGAATGCTAAGCAAGTAAACAGTGCACTTAAACAGAAAATGGAAGGTGGCATCGAAGAATTCAAGCCCCCTGAGGTATGTTGCCGAGGAGAGACTGTGGCTGAGTGCAGGGGGCTTGTTCTGTGGGTTACCAATATCAACTGCTACTTTGGTTAATGCTTGGAAGCACTGTGATGTGGGTGATTTGTTGTGTGCTTTGGCATGCACGTAGTTGGTCTTCGATTTAAGCTAAATGACTAGTGATTGAAGTTAAATCATTTCTCTCCCTCAGCAATTCATGCCAAGCAGAGTCATTAGGAAAAATAGCTCTGTCCCAGCCAGTGCCCGGAAAACAGAAGACCACAGACACACCAGACTTTCCTGGGTCTAGAACAGTGTGCAGGGCCTTTCCTTCCTGTGTAAACAGCACGATCAAGACCCCAAGAAAAGGGGCTTGCTTTAACAATTCTGATTTTAAGATATTGGTCTCTTGGTTGAGATTTCCACCTAGGACCTTATTATCAGGACATCCGTTCTTGTACTTACAGCCCTGAAAATGCGAAATTCTAAAAATCAAGATCGAGATTGACCATTTCCTCAAGGCTTACTTGTATGTCAGCTGAAATCGAATGTTTTGATATCTGTGATGACACAGGAGCTAACATGCCCTTAACGTTCAATCAAGTCTTCTTTATAGAAGCTTCTATCTTAAGCCTTTTCTCGCTCTCTCTAAGGCTGCTGTGTTTGCTTCTCGTCCTGGGCTTGCCTGTCTGGGATGCAGTGATCCAATGATCTTATCAGACCCTAATGGGTTGTCCCTCTCCCCCTCAGATCCCAGGCTGACAGGTATCTACAGATGAGACTTTGTGTGAGGGGCTCAGGATGAGGGCGGGGTGGACAGGCCAGATCCCTCCTGAGGGCCTTTCTAAGGATAAAAGTTGTTTTTGTTTTGAATAATCTCTTTCAAAAAGGACAGGAAATGGAACAGAGTGAATTAAGTTAATACATCTCATTCAGGCCCATGGGTAAACTGACAGACATTCCAAAACATTTATTTATTTGAAGATATTATAGTACAAAAAAATACCACTTTATGTAAATTATTACGATAGTTGTTTAAAATTTTGTACTGAAATTGTTTTTAGTTGCTATTTAATTTTGCAGAAAGCTGCATAAAGGCAAAATTTCCTAAGTGCAGCAAATAGTGAAATCAGGATCATAAAGAGCTTTATGCCAGTAAATTTGCAAATTTAAACAAAACTATGAAATTCCTAGGAAAATGACCAAAATTGTCTCAAAAAAAGAAAACTGGAATAAGTCATAATCATTAAGGAATCAGTAACATATTTGCCCCCAGAAAATTCCCAATGTTGCAGAAAAAAAGTCTACCAAATCTTCAAGGATATAATTCTAATCTTAATTTTTCCAGAAAATTACGAGATAGTCTCAGCCATGAACATTATAGTAACTAAGATGTAAGGGGCTTTGGTATTTATAATTTGCCTCTGACTGCCTCACCTGCTGCTCATATACATCCCAGAAGTAGTCGGTCCACACCAGCCCACACTGGACACCAGGCCCCAGGGCCCTGGCCATGGCCACACAGCCAGTGAGCCTGGGGCTTGGGCTTCGTTTCAGAATCTTGGGGTTCTAGGTTAGAAGATGCCTCTTACTTTGGGATGTTCTCATATAGTAACAAAATTGTATGTTAGAGTCTCACATTGAAATGTGATTATCCGGTTAGGAGTTATCAAGCGTGTTACGTCTTTTGGTTTATTTTAACAAGACTGATCAAAACAAGACAAGCAGAGTCTTAACGCTGCCATCCACATGCTGGAATCTGAATCCATGTTAATGATTATTCAACACACATGACTTGAAAAGTGTATGAATGTTTTATCATCTCCAAAATGCCCAGAATGTATAAGTCACTTTAATTGACTATTTATTTATATTAGTCCCCTTCAATTCCCTTGCAGGGGAGGGCAGGCTGGATAGATATATTTCAAAACACTAGATCAACAATTGCAGTAAAGGCCTGTACAGACTGTGTACTCCACCCCCTTACCTTCCGGCTAGCTCACCCTCGCCTAGAGAAGCTCTCCAGTGCCCACCCAAAGGGCTTCCTTAGCTTTTGAAGCAATAGCTCACTGGGTGATGTGACAGCTGCGAGCCCGCACTCTGAGAGGCTTCACCTACTCATTTGCTTCTGGTTATTTCACTCAGGAAATTTGCAGAAGTCAGTTCATGCACCCCCACAAGTATTCACTGACCACTTCTTTCGGGTGAGGTGCTATGTGAGGCATTATAGGAAGTGTGTACCTGGGGGTGGGGGGCACAAAATGAGGAAGAGATGGATTTTCCATCTTCTTTAAAAAACAAGAATTTACCATTGAGATGTCTTAAGACAGACTGATATAAAAGTTTTATGATAGATTTATAAGCACTATAGGAAAACAAATCATGAGTCATGCTGATTTGGAGAATCAGGGAAGGCTTCCTAGTGGAGGTGTTTCCATTGAAGATTGAAGGGTGAGTAGGTCTCCACATGCAGAAGGGCAGAGGAATAATCCATGGCAGGTGCTGAATGACCCCCCTGAAAAGTGAGAACACATAAAAGTGCTTTCAAGGCCCGTCACGAGGCGTCCCCGAGCACTGTCCCGCAGTCGCCGTGGTGCTGGTTCTGGAAAGGACAGCGGAGGGCAGTTCTCAGGAAGTATACTGTCCACTCATCAGGCAGGCCCAGGGCGGAGGGAGAGCATGTGGTGGCCAAGGCCGTGGGCAAGGACGGGCGCAGAAGCATTCGGGGGGAGCTGGGAAGAGAAGTCACCTTCATTAGATCAAGCCCGCTAGTTTCTTCCGTGTCGGGAGGATGTGATGAAAAATTTTAACTTCAGGGAAATTTAGCAGCACAACACCAGAGAAGTTAGAAACCTGACAGACCAGACACCAAGTCACTGAGTCAGGATGAGGGGGGTTGGGGAGGGTTGGAATTTGCTGTAGGAATGGACAGCAAATGACAAATTCAGAGAATCTTCAAAGTGGGGAATAACGCATCTCCTTGGACATATGGGGGGGCCCCTGCTGAGGTGGGTGGGGGGTGGAGGTGGGCAGGGCAGCCCAGGAGGGGCGCGTACCCAGGAAAGACTAGTCCTAACCGAAAGGGCTGCATGCTGCAGTGAGACACCTCCACCTGTGGGTGGGCCCACACAGGTGGGTCATAGTCTTCCCTGAGGAGCCTTGCGTGGGCTTCTCAGCCCTGGGCAGAGGGTTTGACTCCATGAGCTTTTCTAACTCTTCCAGCTCAGAGATAGTGGGAATCTACTAATAAAAATGGGCAAGATATGCAGACAAATTACGTCCTCAGGGAAGGGGCCAGTGAAGATGCTGACTGCATGAAGGAGGTGACACTGCCCCCAAGGCCCTTGTGGACCTTTATGTTACTGTTATGGTCACTAATCTTGATCAGTGTCTTCTGAGTTTTTAAATAACGGTTTCCGAATGGGGCTACCCCATGGCCTGCGCAGCTGACCCCAGCTGCTGCACAGCCCCCTCTGCCCCCACATATATTCAAGCTGGCCTTGAATTACATCAAACAAATCTACCAATGTTTCTTGGACTTAAAAAAATCAGTAATTTCAAGGAATCTTAGGTGTTTAAAGTTTTCAAACTGTCTCTCCCTGCCCCCCGCTTTGGCATGGCATCCAGTGGGGGCTCAGCCCACCTGCAGCCCCGCATCCTGGGAGCTGCTGCTTCAAGGTCACCTTGGTGCTCAGACGATCCCATAGCTCCTCCGCCCCTTGCTTTCCCGAGTCTGAGGCCTAAGATGGCAGCTCCTGTCACCTCTGAGAGGGCATGTTCTCGTCATCACTTCATACCCCTGTGTCCACTGTAATTCAGCCCTTCTGCATTTATCCTCAGATTTATTTCTCTCAGGAAATACCGCCAGTCCCATTATGTCCCCGGTTAAAGCCACATCACATGTACATTTAAATGACACAAACTCAACCCTTGGTGTCCAGTGAAGTAGGGAGAGGGGAGCCTCTGCTCTGTCACAGCAGGGTCCCCCAGTTGGCCCCCACCTGGGCCCTTCCCTGGGACACCCCCAAGTCAGCAGGGGCCCCACTTCCCTTACTCAGGCGTGGCCTCCACAGCCCCCCCTTCCCAGAGCCCCCTGGAACCCTTGCCACAGAGGAGCGTCCCAGTGGATACTGCCCTGGGCGGAGTCAGAGCCTGCACCCGAGACCCAGCTGGACGCTCATGGGTCTTCGGCAGTGGAAGTGCCTGGACACAGGGAGAGCTTGGGTGCCTGTGAAGAGCACGTCCAGAGTAACTTGGGGGAAAAACAAACTTAAAAATTCATACATTGACTTTAGAATTGCACATTCTGTTCATCCTCATCAACATTTTCCAGGTCCTTGAAAATGTGTTTGAATAAATGAACCAGTTTTACCCTCAGCGGCCCTGCCCGCCGCCTGGACGTCCTGCTCATCACCTGGTTCTCCCTATTTCCCGGCCAGGGCTGGAACTTGCTTCCCACATCCCCGAGTCAGCACTTACTACCTTTCTAGCTTCTAACATCACCCTTCTCCCAGCTTTCTAGGCTTAAAGTCTTATTCAAGCCGCCCCTCTCCTTATTCTAATCATTGTGTCTTTCCCACATCTTGGAATACCCAGGGCCCTTTCTTCTATTTTACTGATAGTTGGGGGTGATCGTCACCTCCTTCTTCACGTGTGAGGGAAGTTGGTGTTCATACTCCTGCTTCACATGTGAGGAGAGTTGGTGTTCACAGTGCGTGGTCTTTTGTCTTTTGTTCCCTTTTTCTTAGCATCTGCCCTTGAGATTCACACACCCATCAATCACTTCTGTTTGCCCAGGCGCCATGTTTGCCCAGGCGCCATGTAGATGCTTTCTTCCTGCCCTCATCTGTCCCTCTTACCCTCAGGGCCCTCAGGATGTGCCTTTGATGTCTAGGAGTTCGTGAAGGTGTTTTACATTGTTGAAGTGTCTGGTGTATGAATGTCCAGTATTTGTTTTTATTATTCTGACTTGTTTTGCTCCACATAATTCTGTCAGATTCCCCCCATTTTGTTGAAAATGGTGGCACTTCATGCATTTTTGTGGGTGTGTAATATTCCTTAGGGTGTGTGGACCATGTCCTTTTGATCCATTCACCCACAGGAAGAAATTTAGGCTGCTTCCTTGTCCTAGCTATGTGAATGATGCTGCAGTATGTAGAATGTAAACTTTTTTTGTTAATGGTTTTTCATATTCTGTGGGTAGATGCCCAAGAGCGGGATTGTCAGGCCCAGTGATATTTCTGTCTTTAATTTTAGGTAAATCCAGATCGCTTTCCATAATCACTGTACCAGTTTACCTTCCCACCAGCATGTAAAAGGGTTCCTCCCCTCCTTCCCCCGACATCTTCTCCAGCACTTGTTGGGGGGTCTTTTTAATATGTGCCACTCTCACAGGTGAGAGGTGGTCTCTCATTGTGATTTAATCCTCATCTCTCTCATTAGGAGCGATGATGAACATTTTTTTCAATGTCTTTGACCTTCTGAGATCCTCTTTAGTGAATTGTCTGTTCATGTCTGCTATCCATTTTTTAACTGGACTATTTGGTTTTGTGGTTGAACTGTATGAGTTTTTGTACATCTTGGGTATTCATCTGTATCCATTATATACTATGTAAATATTTTTTCCCATGTGATAGGGTGTCTAACTGTCTTGTATTCTCTTTTGCTGTAGAGAAGCCTTTTAACTTGAGGTAATCCCAATTGTTTATTTTTGTTTTTAATTCCTTTGCCATGGGATTGAGTCACCAGAAATGTTGATTGTTGATAAGGTGGAGGGTGTCAACATTGTTTCCATGTGTGTTTTTTAATGTTGCAGGTCTGATATCTAAAGCTTTCATCCATCTTGAGTTTACTTATGTGTATGGTGTTAGTGAGTAATCCATCTTCATCCTTTTATGTGCAGTTTCCCTATTTTCCCAGCACCATTTATTTAAGAGCCTCATCCCCATCTTATGGTCATGGATCTTTTATCATAGATTAAATACTGGTATATGTGTGGATTTATTTCTGGACTTTCGATTCTGTTCCATTGGTTCATGAAGCTAGAAGCTTCCTTGCGTGTATTTAGCACATACCGTGACTGTCATCCAGAACAGCTGGCACTGTAGTATCACAGATCTTCAGTATCCAAATGCTTCTTAATATGAGGGAGGGATGGAGAAGCACAGGTTGTCAACGAGGAAGTAGTCACCGGTGAATGGATCATTTATAGGAGTAGACTTGGCTCTCCCCACAGCTCTACCCCTCCCACCCACCACATCAGACCCTAGGCACTCTGGCAAATAGGGTGCAAATGCCGCATGATCTGGGCACAGTTGTGAACCCTGCAAAAGACGCAAAACCCCAGGAAGCTATGAAAGTTCAGGGAAGGGCTTCTTTGCTTGCTGAGTGTTGGCAGCTGAGGCTCCCAACAGAATTAATAATTGAAGGCGAAAAGGATAATGTCTCACAGACACGCACTCCAAAAGAGAAGAATGTGAGTCACAATGAATTAAAAAGAGGCCCTTGAGAAAATCGTTGAGGGCGTCCAAACAAAAATGACCCATTTTATACTCATCAGTGAGCTGGAGACTGTTGTTCCGTTGCAGTCAGAAATGGTTCACCAGAAAACGGGGTCAAAGTATGTGAGTGAGGTCATTTCCGTTGGCCCTTCCACAAGGGGGTGGGGGTGCTGAGTCTGGAGAGTTGGCAATTTGAGTGTAGCTTGTAAATGGGCCTTCCTCCTGCACAGTCCCTGGTCACCCCACGTCTGTTGAGCCCGTGAATGTGAAACCCTAGAGAGAAATCTGCACAGGTGAGGCCAAGGCAGGAGGGCGAGAGGATTCACCAGAGACAGAGCAGGGACTAGAACAGACAGACTGACGAAACACACTGCTGAGGGGAGCAGCGGGCGAGACAGGCAAGGTCCACCTCGCCATGTGGGCATCTCTTCTGCTGGTGGGGATCGAATCAGCACTGCAGAGGCTGCAGACAGCTTCACAGCGTGGTGCTCAACCGCCTGTGCCACCAGGGAGGCCCTCCACTGGCACTACTTTTTTTTTTTTTTTTTTTTAAGATTTATTATTTATACAAGCGCTGGGTACAGTCAGAAGCGCGGGAGGGTGAGAGAATTCACCAGAGCCAGAGCGGGGAACAGAGCAGGCAGACTGATGAAATACACTGTTGAGGGGAGCAGTGGGAGCAGCAGGAGAGGTCTGTTGCACCATGTGGGACCCGTGCCAGCGACTGGGGATCGAACCGGTGCTGCAGAGGCTGAGGGCAGCTTCGCAGCCCATTGCTCAACCGCTGCACCACCAGGGGAGGCCCTTTTTTTTTTTTTTTTTTTTAAGATTTATTTATTTATTCATATAAGCACTGGGTACAGTCAGAAGCGCGGGTGGGTGAGAGAATTCACCAGAGCTAGAGCAGGAAGCAGAGCAGGCAGAAGGACCGAAGTACACTGCTGAGGGGAGCAGCGGGCAGCAGGAGAGGTCTGCGCGCCATGTGGAACCCTTGCCCAGCGGCCGGGGATCGAACCGGCGCTGCAGAGGCTGCGGGCAGCTTCACAGCCCAGTGCTCAACTGCTGCGCCACCAGGGGAGGCCCATCCACTGGAACTACTTTTAATGGACTCGTTTTCATAAATTTCATGTTAGGTACAATCGACCCTTTATTTTTTTCCCCATTTACTCAGCAATATTTGGACCAGCTGTGCTTGGGTGCCAAGGACTTCCACCTGCGGGGGTTCAGATGGCCTGAGCACCCCTCAGGTAGTGCTCCTCCTCCTCTTTGTGGGGAACCTGTTTAAAATTTCACATTTTTCCTCTGTCATCACCTGTTGCTTTTTATCTGTTTCTTTTCACTCTTTAAGATCTAGTTTACTTTTTCTTCCACCTTCTCTTGCCCCCTCCCCCCTTTCCCCTTTTACTGCCATTCCCCAGGTCCTCCCAGCCCCTTACTTTGGGGCGCATCTGCTGTGGCCGCCCGCCTCCTTGCTGTCCCCTTTTAAGTATTGTCTAGAATTCACTGCTTGTGTTTCAGGTTTTTCCCTCCATACTGTCCTTTTTCCCCCTTTCTCACCTAATAATTTTCTTCTTTCTTCCGATTGCCTACTTGTTCCTCTTGCTCACGGTGAGGAAGGTGGTGCTGCCTCAAACCCTATCCTGGAGGGACTTTGCTGCTCAGCCGCGGACGAGGCGCGGTCTCCAAGGGCCCCACCCCATGTCACTCTGAGCGCTTTGCCTGGGCCATTCCTTCTGCAAACCTCTGTCACTACTGAGTCTGTCCCTCCAGCCATGGCCAAAGCCCTCAACTTCCTGAACGAGGGTTACACTAATGAAGTTCCACTAGGTGTTGAATATTGTATTGTTGCTATAATAGAAATCTTAGGTTTTGTTCAAGAAAATATTGGGAGAAATATGGGTGGTCTTGGGGGGAAGGAATCTTTCTGCTTCAAAAATTTAAAGAAATATTTTAGGACTTAGGTCTAGTCTACAGTTCAGGGTTAATTTATGCAACACTTTCTGGTGGGATAAGTTTAATCTAAATTTGAAGATATTTTAGAGAGTCACAGATCCTCTGAAGAAACTAAAGCCTTACACATTTAAAAGCAGGCTAAGTTAACATTTGCAGCGTGTGGAGGGAACAGTGTGCATGGAAGTGGGAGGCCAGGGGACTCTCTAGCTTTAATCTCTGACAAGTGTAAATGCTGATGTTCATCTGCCCCCTTCCATGATGTTTTATGTGGGTAAAAGGTAACGCAATATGTATTTTAATCCTTATAAAAATGGAATCTTCATGAATCAGTTTTAGTAATCTCATGTCTGTGATTTGGTGAAAAGTTAAAAAAGAAATAAGCACTTTGGAAATTGTCTGTCTTCATATCCTCATTAGGAAACTTCTCTTTAATTTTGTAGTCAAATCAGAAAATTAATGCCCGTTGGACCACAGAGGAGCAGCTTCTAGCAGTGCAAGGTATACTGAAGATACGCAGTTCTTGTTGTTAATCATTGAACTTGTCATGAAAGGTGCCACCTGAGTCTTCCCCTTCCTATAGGGATGACGGAGAAGGCCTTTGTGCTCCCCAAAAGGTGCTGGCCCCCCGGGAACCTGGTGTGGACCATGGGCCTGAGCCCCCAGCCCGCGACATCAGGGCTGGAACAGCACCCCGAGGCCTTGGCACCCACTGCCCATGGTGTCCCGCCTTGTTTCAAGGCCCTGCCCCGGCACCATTCCCTGCTGGGCTCGACTCATCGTTAAGCCTCCGTGACTGATGACCTGTGTCTGGCTTCTCTGAACACGCATTCAAAGTGTTTATTTGATAAATGTCAGATGCTGAAAATATCAGTGACATGCTTGCCTGCCAGCCTGCCCCAGCTTGCGTAAGAGATGGGCCCCCAATGCTTACAGATGCAACTTTAAAAATATGCTGTTACCAAAGATACTGAAGGGATGAAAAGCATGTGCCTGTAACGTTTTAAAGTTTCCAGAACGCCTTTCTGAACTGTATGATAGAATACTTCTTATGACAAGTGCCCGTGGCACGCTGGAAACCGCAAACTTGGGTTTTGTCCTGTTTGAAGTATTCTGAGAAGGGCAGACGGTCTACTTTATTAGCGTTGTAGACTTTTGCTCCCCTTAGGATGAACTCGCTGTAGGCCAGACCACACTGCAGCCAGGCCTGTGGTCTGCATTGGGTGCTGGCACCCCCTGCACCCAGCACCAGGGTGGGCCGGGAACACGTGCTCGCCTTTAAAAGTACGAGTGCTTGAGGGCAGAGCACACCTGACTCAGCAGGGCCACACAGCCATCACATGGGAGTGAGAATAATGCCATAACACACGAGCAGGAACTCGCCAGCCAGCCTTGTAGTGGCACAGGCGTCCTCGCCGTTGGGCCCGCACCACCTCCGCAGAGGGTACCCAGGCCTGAGCGGTGCCACTGTGATTGTGGCATTAAGGGTCTGAGAGTTCAGCAAAGTTGAACTCCTTGAGAATGTTCAATAACTTAAGTAATAGCTCAGATTAGAAAGGAACAGTTTCAGTTCTTGCTAGCAGACAGCATTGGCAGGGCTGCTGGGTGCTCACTTAGAACCGTGGCTCAGGGCTCTAGCAGAGCTGCTTGAGCAGACATGGCTTTTACTGTCGAAGCCTGTTTCCCCCTCCTGACCCACAGCCTCGGTGGCTAACCCCTGGCTCCCAGAATCCATGCTCCAGGGCGGCCTGCTAGTCCCGTGCTCTGGTGCAAGGTTGTCCCTGAGAATGGGTTTCCTGAAGAGACCACCTGGCAGATCTAGGCCGGTGTTTCTCTGCACAGGGTCTCTGCTGTGCCAGCCTTGGAAGCTGCAGCTGAGCTGGCACCACACACAGCACATCGGGGAGGGCAGTGCTAGAGGGACAGCACGTTAGGGCTGCCTGTGGCAAAAGCCCCGCTAAGACGCCTCAGAATGGGTTCTTCATAGACCCGACCAGATGTTCCCTCTGTCTGGGGTTTCTGTGAGTCTCTATTCTTCAACATGCCTAAAAAGTACCCCTTAAATAAATTACATGATGCAGGGATTCTCATGAAAATACGCATGTTCTTAGGATTTTGAAGACACTTTCTTACTATGTGATATCTTTGTTTTTATTTGTTTCATCCCTGGAGTTTTTGTTTTCACTTTGGAGCTTTTAGGGCTTTTTGTTTTGGGGCTTGGTTTAATCTATTTATTATAGGTCACATAAAATAAAACAACCTAAAGTTATTGGTGTCCAAAATAGTTACTTTAGGGCGCATTAAAAAGTGCCATTTATGCCTCATGTGCTCACACATTTATGTCCTATTCAGAGGCGTGGCTTAGTGTAATCACGTGACAGTGCCACCTCTACCCCAGTCTCAGCATGGTTGAGGTTGCAATGGCAGTCGTTATTTTAACACGTTTAAGCTGCTGTCCAAGAAGACAATTGTTTTGTTTTCCTAGCCTTTATGCTAAACCTTTCTGTGGCATTATTCCTTTAATGCTTCTCAGTTACACAAAGTAATAATCATTTCTGTTTTGGTAGCAACATGTTTTAATTTATGTAGCTTAACATTTAAGTCATTAACACATGTGCACACACGTGTCCTGATTGACATTTACTAAGTGGTTTGTTTCATCTTGCTGGTAAGTGACTAGCAGAGTGACTGAGGGCAAGACACACCGACTCCAGTGTCACTGCTGAGATTTATCACCTTTATTCCTACTATTTAAATAAACCTTTTTGTTGTGACTCTTGTAAAGCCAAGAGTCCTAGGGCTCAGCTAAATATTTCCTGCTTTATTTTCCATCTTCTCCCTTTCCTACGCAGCCCCTGCAGGGGTGTCTGTGTATACTGGGGTATACCCAGTTCTCCAGGTGTCCCCAGGTGGGGTGTTACAAATGGCGCTAGTTTAATCCTTTTAAAATACCTGCCAAGAATGGCTTTTCTGTAGCTTTGTCATCTGTTGTAACCTTAAGTATCTAAATTTGCTATTACAACAAACTAGTTAATGACAAGACCGATTATCCTCTTTCCCTGCATTAATGGCGAAATAGTCTTGTTCGTAGCTTGTATCATATAACTGTAGATAAGAATCTATAGTACATTTAGAAATTACCTAAAATCAATCTTGACATAGATGTGATAAACATTACATAGCAAGAATAAAGAAAGGAATTAGATTCTAGGTATATTTTTTCAGTGTAAAATGCAATAGTTAGCTGTTTTCAAAAAATAGCAGTACATTTAAACTGTAGTATGAAATGTAGGGCATAGAGGGGCAGAAACATTGTATATAAAACTTGCTATTTTTATTTGAGGGCTCCTCTTTAATTTCATAATCATAACTCTGGAAAAAATATGCCCCCTAAAAATATTTGTGCAATTTTAAGATAAACAGCAAAATCTTTCTGCTTTTATCAAGATGTCAACTTTAATTCTTAGTTTTGTTTTTTCCCTCATATTGCCGCCTTCTCATATAAATCAGGAAATGACAGAACTGTGTTCCAGCAGCTTTGCTGACAGTTAAATGTTACCCCCTTCCCTCTAGTTCACACATTCGTTCTTTATAGCAGAAATGAAGCTGCAAGTCTAGAAACTGGCTTCTTGCTAATTTGTCCATACTTAAGAGACGTCAGGAAGGCTCCTGCAGTAGGAGAGAGACCCTGTAGTTGCCTGAGACTGAAGATTGGAGCCTGCATCGATGATCAGCAGGACGTGGAGACAGAGATTCAGACCTTTCCCTTTCCACGGCACCCCTTGGCTTCAGTGTCCAACCCAAAGGTGCGAGTTTAAAATCAACCTCTTATTGGTAGGAAAGAGCCCCCATCCCTGGAGTTTCTAGATAGCACTGGGTTCTATCACTTCAAAAATAATTTGCTGAAAAAATAATATTTCCCAATTATAAGCAAGACATGCTCACTTTAAGAATTTCTCTTATAAGAAGCAGGAAAAAATATCTCCCAAATTTTCCTACCCAGGAACAACTTGCCATGATCATATTTGGGCTTTATTTTTAGTAGCCCAAACGCAGACTTTTAAAATACCTTTTTAAAACAAACGAAAAGCAGATTCACAGTATCGCTTCTACCTAAGGAAAAATTCCACAGTTCCATGCCCATGGATGGGAAACACCACCTTAGAGATGCCCCTGGTTACCTTATCAGCCAAAGCGTAGACTCTACGAGCATTTTTTGGTTTTTGTTGCTAACAGAACACTGGTTGGAAACTGTGGGTTCCCCAAACATGGTGATGGCACAGTGTCTTGAGTTCTATTTTGTTAACTCCCAAGGAAGAATTGAAAGCACGCATTATACTCTAGGTTGCAAGAGACCGTCCACTTCCCTCCACTCACAAGGTCTTATATTATTTCAGATGAAATTCAGAAATTTGAGTGAAAACAAATTTTCCCCTCTCCCTGGGAACTTTCTACTTTACCTATCCCAGGTACTTGTATGCTTCATCCCTCTAACCTTAGAATACTGACTTGCCTTAAAGGTGAGAAGTTTAATTAAAACTATGGCCTCAGCCATGTCCATCTTCAAAAAGAGCCTTTGTCACTGCACTCACTCCCTGCTGATGACCAGCCCGTTGTCTTGTTACCCTGACCTGTGTGGGAGACAGGCTGCCGTCCCCCCGTACCTCTTACCTGTGCTGACGCCGTGTGGCTGCTGGCGGAGCAGCTTGAGTGCCCCACAGGAGCGTCCTCACAGCCAGCGGGCAGGCTTCCTTGGGGCTGCACAGCTCTCAGCTGGGCACAGGCACAGCAACTGGCCTTGCCAGAGCTGATGCCGAGCACCGCGCTAGGGCGCAGGGGCCAGGAAGCCGCCAGAATGGCCCCTGTGGTCAAGGGCAGGAGACGGCCCTCTCCTGAGTGCTCCAGGCCTCAGTGAGAGGCAGTAATGGGGCTGACTGCAGGGACGGCACCCCCAGTCCCTTCAGAGTGGCCCACGGACAGGCTTATGGCCTTGGTCACAACACACTGGGGCAGGCACACGAGGCTGCTCCCCAGGGGTGGGGGGTCCTCAGGGAGCGCTAGCTGTGGCAGACCCCGCCAGCCCACCCCAGGGTACCCCTGTTCTCAGGAGGCCCCAGGGTGGCTGGTGCCGCGGGCCGTGGAAGCAGGTTGTAGTCAGCACGCCAGGGTGCTTGGGAAAAGTCCCACCATTCCGAGTGCCTGGGGACCCAGATGGCCTGTAGGAAGGGGCGGGCCTGGCGTCACTGACGCTGGAGGGCAGCACTGTGGTGGCAGGAGGAGCCCCCTGAGTGAGAGCAGATGAAAGGACCTGTCTGAAAAACGGAGTCAGCAGAGGAGGGACAACCACGTGAGGGCTTCAGAGGTCAAGCTTGGAAGTGCATTTGCTGGGTGTCCTGAGGCTGTAACATGTCCAAATGCGGACAGAGTTAGTCGTAATGCGACTCCCTGTAGGAATACAGAAGATCCAGAAATCCCAGGTTGAAGGGAGGTTTCACTTCTAAGCTCCTGTACCCAGCAGGGCTGGGCATTTCCAGGATGTACATTTGATAGCCTTCATGGAGACTCTGCCTTCCCCCAAGCAGCGTCTCCCCCTTGCGGCCACCCCATCTCCCAAAATACAAGCTGTGGCTATTTCCCAAAATACAAGCAGCAGAGAAACTCCGAGAATGAAGTGAGAATCCCTGACGTGAAATCACCTTCGATTTTATCACCAAATAAACCCTCAGAGGGGCGATCATCCCCAGGGAGCTTATATTTCATGAGGAAGGCCACGCTGGGAGTCAGCGCGTGCATTTAGGGAGCACAAAAGCTCATTTCCATTGCTGAACCCCTGGGAAGGACAGCATTGTCACTTTATTGGCATGTCTCTGTCTCTTCCACTGAGAACTGAGGAGTCAGCAGAGTGTATGAGTCCAAAATTCTGATTTCAAAACAGGATGTGGTTGTAGCTTGAGCCTGTCAGCCCTCCTGCCCAAGGTGCCCTGGGGGAAGGGACGCCCGCGCCGTGCGGCCAGTTGGTAGAGCGCGAGGGACTCGTGCCCAAGTTCTCAATCTGAAATACAGGCAGAACTTAGAGCAGGAATCCTGCCACAGGGTACTTGAAGGTATTTGGATACATCGGGCCAATAGGCACCAGTTTCTGCGGGCCATTAACATGCCCCATTACAGTATTATGTCATACCATGTCATGTCATGTGTGATCATATGTGTTACTGGACCCCCCCCCCCAGCTGCTCAGGTTAAATCACAGACTTCTCTATTGTAAGCATCAGTATTTTTCTCCTTTCGCATCTCTGTAATTCATGAGCTGCTGTTTTCTGGCATTTTTAGACAGTTACCCAATGGTAAAATGTTGACAGCCTTTCTATCTTGAGATAAGTGCATCTCGAGCAAGTCAGTGAACTTTCAGAATTCCCTTAAGAGCAAATGATTATCCATTCGATTGTAGAGTCGTTTGCAATTCCATAGCATGATTGGTTCCTGGTGTCCATAGATCAATTCATAGCCGTCATTATTTCAAGATGTCCTTAAGTAACCGCAGGCGGGGTCCTCCCTGAATTCAGGGCTGCGATGGCACAGACCTGCTAGCTATCCCACAGAGGGAGGCACCCCTATACTCTCTAGCTCAGGCAGTGAATTCAGAGCCCCCTGAAAAATAGCGCCCCTTTCTTTGGTCCATCAGATTGTGATGATTCTCCTGTTTGTTAACATTTCAGTTCTTACCTCCTCTCTGTTGGCACCCAGGTGAGAGGGGCAAGGGGTCGCGTGGAATTCAGCTAGTCAGCATCCAGAGCAGAACCCTAATGTTTTCCTTAATGGGGCCCCGAGGTGACGCGTCCGCAGCCCTCGGAGGGGGTGAGGCGACGGCGCTTTACCCAGCTCTGTTTACAGCCGGTGTTGCTCAAATTTAGGTGGCTGGCTACTAGGGAAATAAATGAATGTGGAATTGAGGATGGAACAGACAATTCAGTGCTTTACAATAAATGGATGTATTTGAGATTCCAGAGAGGACTGGAGAAAGTAACTGAGTATGTCCAAAATGGTAAGTTCCCGACTGCCAGTGGAAGGCGGGGGCCGGCGCGACGCCGCGACCCAGTGGGGCCGGCGCCGCAGCCCCGCGCCTCGGCCGCGTCTCCGCACTGAGAAGCGAGCGGTTCGCCAGCCAGGGCGTCCTGGGGGGGTGCGCCGCGGCGTGTGGGACCCGCTCTCCTGCCCCTCCTTCACAGGTGTGTTATTTACTTTGCCTTCCAGGTGTCCGCAAATACGGTAAAGATTTTCAAGCTATTGCAGATGTAATTGGCAACAAGACTGTTGGCCAAGTGAAGAACTTCTTTGTAAACTACAGGCGTCGGTTTAACTTAGAGGAGGTGTTACAGGAGTGGGAAGCAGAACAAGGAACCCGGGCTCCCAATGGTGATGCCTCCGCTTTAGGGGAGGAGACAAACAGTGCTTCCAATGCGCCAGCAGGGAAGAGCGCTGAGGAGGAAGAGGAGGTGTGTGTGTGGGGGGGGCTGGAGCGGCTGTAGCGGCCCGCAGGAAGCCGACCTGACCGCGCGCGAGCTCGGGTCTCCGGCACCTGCTCGGGGCGGGCCCTCGGGAGCGAGCGTGCCCCGCGCTTTCGTGGTCTTACTTTTATTTCCAGTGTTAAGCTGTTTACTAATAAAGATGCCTGTCTGGTAGCTTCGTGGCTTTTTCGGTTTTTGGTTTTGTTTCATTTAAAATAAAAGAAGCTTGTGCTTCCAAAAAACACTGGTGTTACTGTTTTTGTTTTGTTTTGGTTTGTTTTGGTTTTCCTGTGCCAGCCCGAGCTGTGTTGTCTGGGCCCACGAGGAACCGTCCGCTCACGCCGTGTTTTTGTCTCCTCACCTCTAGGCACAGACCCCACAGGCTCCTCGGACTCTGGGTCCATCACCTCCCGCCCCATCGTCCACTCCAACACCGCCCGTTCCCGTGGCAACTCTGAACCAGCCTCCTCCGCTGCTGCGCCCAACGCTGCCCGCGGCCCCCGCTCTCCACCGGCAGCCGCCGCCGCTGCAGCAGCAGGCTCGGTTCATCCAGCCCCGGGCAACCTTGAACCAGCCGCCACCACCTCTCATCCGCCCTGCTAACTCTCTGCCGCCCCGTCTGAACCCCAGGCCGGTGCTGTCCGCAGCCGCTGGTCAACAGCCACCGTCGCTTGTCGGCATTCAGGCAGACGTGCAGTCCTCGGGGCACTAGACTCGGGGGCCCCTCACCCCAGCGCTCAGCCGGCTGGCCCAGGGGAGCCCCCTCGCCCGGACGCCTGGACGCGGACCAGCGCGGGGGCGTGGGCCCCCGAGCGGCTGCAGAAATCCTTTAGTTCACGCGACTGAGGTGTCACCCAGCTAAAAGCCTGCCGTCCACTCCCGTCTAGAATGTCCATGCAGCGACATGGTCTCATACCAGGAGAAAAAAAAAAGATCCAGTATTCTATATACCAAGGGTTTTTTGGTTTTATTTTGAACTGTATTTATTTTCTTGCAAGTCTCTATTCCTGCCTCTTCTTAGTCAAGGCTCTTAATATAGGAAGATCGAGTTAGGGATTGAGACGACTCCTTACGTTTCTCGAGTTAAGGATGTTTGACTTTTCCCCTTTAATTTAATTTTAAACAACATTTTCCTATGTTAGGAGTGCAAGAGTAAATAGCCTGCATTTAGATTTGACATGTTCATTTGATGCATATTTAAGCAATCATCGCTGCATATCCCTTTTTTCAAAAACACGTTGCTTTTTTTCTAAAGGAATTGTAATATGTTCCTTTAAAAGAAAGCAATTTAATCAATTGCAAAGCAATTATATGAAACCACAGAGAATGTACTGAACCCCCAACCCTTTGTGCACTTAGGGTCCTCGCCAGAGCCATCACCTGTGGGCGAGGTGGGGTGGCGTGCGTCTGGATGAGGACTTGGCTTGAAGTGCGACATCTTCAAGGTCCTGGAAGTGGAGTTCATTTTGATTTTTTTAAATGTTTCTAAATGCTATCTGCTTTGAACTAGTACTCGCCTATCTTTGGGGACTTAGAAGAGATTCCGTTTTGTCAGTTACGTGGAGCTAGTGGTTAGGGAAGCATTTATTTACAATACCCTTTTCATGTTTAGGTTCTGAATTTAAAACCACCCTCCTCCTTCTGACTATGGTCTGCATTTACATAAAGAATGTCTTCTTGATTCGTCTCTATTGTGCTATTTGGATACACTTGCGTATTCCCAGCAGCCAACTTGGACCCATGGGTTTGCTTTAGGGGTAAATCACGACATTATCTCATAAAATAAATTTAAGAATTTGTTCTGTGTTATCTAAAGATGCATCAGTATGTTGTCGCAATTGTGCTGTTAAAATGCTGAGACCCCTTTTCATAGAGAAACAAAACCTTTCAAGCCTTTGAACACATAACCACGAAGTCCCACAAAGCCCGTTTTACACGTGCTAGTGTTTCAACAATGTGTCACCGAACCCTCTGATACAGGGTTTCCTGCTAGAGTCCTGGCCCGTGCAGCAGGACGGATGTGCAGGTGGCTATCCAGCAGGACAGAGGGCTGACCACTCACAGCTGTGCCGGCTCACCACCTGACGCCCTGCTTTATGTTTGGAGAGGTGATGTGTTCCCAGCACCTTGGAAACACTGGCCGTGCTGTAGGCTCTAAAGCCATCAGAGCCATAGACTTGAGCGCACCGATCAGTTTGGGTTTGGGAGTTGAGAGCTCTCCTCTTCATGAGACCCTGTAGGCTGGCACAGCGCGAACTACCCCTAGGGACTACCTAGTTGCTATCTCTAGGGAGCACCCCCTTCTCACTGGTCATCTTATACCATCACCAGAAAAAAACAGACTCTAAGTTCTGAGGACACAAGAATGTATACTTATCTTTAACAGCCCTGGGGGACAGTCACATATACTAAGACATCTAGGGCGTTTTGAGAAGCCCCTCGACTGCCTTGCATTTGTACCCAGTGTGCAGCTTGCTGTCTTGTCTCGTCAGTGGGCCTCCCCATCGCTGTGTGGGGTCGTCGGCCACAGTGGTCAGCACCAGCATCTGTCCAGCTGTCCCGTATATTGTGATTCACTTAAAAGCCGTCCTATCCCAGCCCTGGGCCCTGGTGCTGCATTTGGGGCACATGCCTGGAGCGCACAGTAGGACAATCGTAGCTTCATTTGTAATATGACACATGTACCTGGTGAGATGTCTTTATCGTGTGCTTCGCGTAGTTTGTAAATATTTTGCACGTCATTCTTTTTCTTTTTTGTTGAAGCAGTGTTTGGCCTGGAAGAGTGATATGCTTGCTGCTTACTCAAAGGATTAAAGAGTTAAAGATGTCTATGTCTTCTATTTTTATATAATTTCATGTTGTATGAGGAACTTAGGACCTCTTCACTGTGAATTCTTAAGACTGATTTTTATAAAAAAGCAAAACCGAGAAATCTTTCAATGACCATTTCTTAATTTCAGGGTTGGCACTTTTGAAAAGTCTACACAAGAGTATTTCTTCCATCACATCACTAAAAATAAATCATACTTGATCCATCTGGTGATAGCAGTGAAAAAAAAATTTTTCTCTATGATTTCATTCTGGTGTAATATGGATGGAGGGAAAGGTAAGTTATGATCAGAACATTTTTCTTAATAATCTTACCATTGTGTGAGTAAAATAGAAGGGCCTGCCCTCACAGACCTGCCCATTCTTTTTAGGGGTAAATGCAAGGAACAAGCAAAACCACGTGTCAGTCACCATTTTCATAAATAGTACAAGCGTTGCAAGTACTTTGGTGAAAGACCAAGTTTAGTTCCTAAATATGTTGTATCATCTTCATGTTTCTTCCTGCTATCAGAACGTTCCCCATACAAATCAGTAACTGCTGATTACTTAACAAGACTAGGGCGTTAGGGTCTCTCCACTGAGAATAACCATACCTAGGACTCAAAACAGGATCTTTCTCTCTGTGATTCCCCAAAATAAGCCTGAATACATTGTGATTGTAAGAAGCACCTGAAAAGGAAACAACATGGTGTGTGTGTGTGTTAACTGAGTTATTCGCTACCCATCACGTCTGTTTCCAGAGGAGGAAACAGAGAAAGTGAATGCATACAGAGCGCAAGAGTCATGTGTGAAAAATAATACTATTAAAACATCTACAAGAAAATAGCTCTATTTCTGTCTCATTTAAGGGCGTGTATGTGACAGCTTAGGAAAAATAAATGGGTCACATATAACTCTTCCCAACTTAAATACTTGGAAGTTTAGCTGCTGTAGTTAGGAAGATTCTGTGGCAATAGATTTTTGGCCACAGTGGGGTTTGGGAATTAGACCAGAAAAGGGGTGCTCCTGGGGGATGGGCGGACTTTGTTTTTAATCCTGCTCTCCCTGAAGTCCCACTCGCCAGGAGAAGCAATGAAGACCAGGAATTGGTGTTGCTGAGATATTTGTGGTCACCAGTACTCGAGGGGACCGTGGTCTGCTGCAGAGGGAATGTGTGTACAGCATGGCAATTTCAACTTTAGAGCCCCAAACTGCGATTTGGGGGAGAAGGTTGAGAAAGGAGGAGATGCAAGTGGTTGGAATGGAAGGTCCAGGAGACATCTTCACCTTGCAAAGGGCATTCGGCTCCCAAGTTGCTTTATGTGATGTCTTTTTCTCTAGATCACTTGAAGAAAAATGATGTTTTTATACTGTATTGTGGCGTAATCACATTTAGAATAAGGCACAATTGCCAGTGACCTCAGACCCGGGACCATACCACAGCAGGAAACATCTCTCCTAGGGTCTAACCCACTGCCAGAGCAGCTTTCTTGATTGGCAGGACGGGGCTTCAAGAGCCTGTTGCTCCCAAGTCAACTTTTGTCTCCGCACTGCTGTGTTATAAACAGGCCCTTTCAGGATGGGGTTCTGGAAACATCCCGACTGCCGAGGGGCCTGTTGTGGGCGCCTGTGACTCTGCCCTGATGGGACTCCTAGCCCACTGAGCATCTCCTCTTCCCTCCCATATCTCACCCGTGGTTCCCCAGGCCCTCTGATTCTCCGGGTATTGTCTTGGCACCTAGAGTTCCTGCTGGTCAAGCTAAGACACAGAGTCAGACAGAGGGCCTTTCACCAGATAAACAGTCTTAGTTTGAGGAACATACTGGACAACCAGTATCTGCTGAGACAGCTGGCAGACATTTTGACCAGACTAGCATAACCATCCAGACACCCTGGCAGAAGTTAAGAGTAAACAGGAACTAGAGATAGCATGTTTTGATGGGGGAGGGGGGGACAATGGAGCCCCCAGGCAACAGCCCCTACTCACTCCCCCTAGCTTGTGCCAGACATTGGTACAATGTCATGCACCCCCAATCCACATCCCCACCACCCACATTCCTCAGGGACTTGCCCACCTTCCTTGAGCCTGATTCCCAGGAAATGTGAGACGCCCTGGAAAAGGGGCTGCACTCTCTGAGGCACGAACCCCTCTAGGTCTCTCTTTCTGATTGGCCTTTGAGTTGTATTTCCGCCCCATGCAGCCCCAATGCTGCCCTCCTGAGAGGGACACTTACCCCAGAGAGAAAGAAACAACATGCCCCCTTGGCAGTGCAGGGAAGGCAGGTTGGGGGCAGCCGCAGGTGGAAACAGATGCAAAACCCCCAGAATGGAGGGAACCCCCCCACTCCATGAAGCAGAGACAGGGCAGGAAAGCAGTAACATAGGAGAGAAATAGAGCAGACATTGTGTTGCAGGGCAGGAAGAGGGGAACCTCAGACCCCACAAACCTGCCTACTCTAAATAGTTTCTGCCATCCGTGGCATCAACACAAAACATATGAGACTTTAATAGGAAGGAACTTTAATACAATTAGTAAATAACACAGGAAAGGCAAAGAATAGTTTCTAAATCAAGTACCCAAAGTTACCTATTCCCTCATGGGTAAAAGTCCACCCAAGCAGGATTGGCCCAGAGCAAGGCCCCAAAGCCTGCCACAAGTCTGAAGCACTTTCCAGTGGGTACCCACAGAAAAGGGTCAGAAACAACCAGACAAGTCTGGGAGGAAAAGACCAAAATCAAAATCAAGACAAAAACCACCATTGTCACCTCCCCACGGGTCTCTCACCCACATCTGTGTCACCCAGTCCACGACCAAAAGGCAAGCACAGTTTCTTCACATGTCTCTCAGCTCCATGTGCCTCCTCCAGGTCTCCTTCTGGCTCCATCCTGCTTCCTTCCTTCCTCAGTCTCCTCTGCAGCTTCTTCTCTCCCTGCTCAGCTCCACCCTCCTTTTGGGTGGGGCAGGAAACCTGGGACCTCCCCCTTTCCTGGGGACCACCCTGTTACAATGGGAGTGATAGAGGAAAGAACAGAAAACCTGAAGGAGCCCTCATAAGACTAAAACCTGGGGCCTCCCTGGTGGTGCAGTGGTTGAGCGCTGAGTTGCAAAGCTGCCCGCAGCCTCTGCAGCGCCGGTTCAATCCCCAGCCACTGGGCGAGGGTCCCACATGGCGCGCAGACCTCTCCTGCTGCCCGCTGCTCCCCTCAGCAGTGTACTTCGGTCCTTCTGCCTGCTCTGCTCCCCGCTCTGGCTCTGGTAAATTCTCTCACCTCCCACGCTACTGACTGTACCCAGTGCTTGTGTAAATAAATAAATAAATCTTAAAAAAAAAAACAAACAAAAAACCTGGCTCACACAAAGCCAAGAGCTCAAGGTGGGGGTAGAGGGATTAACGTGACCATTAACCCAGCTATAGAAGCCAAGATCCTCAGGTGCCAGGGCCTTATCACAAATCCTAAGACCCAAGCAGGTATCAGACATTGTAGGGAGGGTCTGGAGCACAGACACTGACCTGAGCGTAAAGATGAGGAGATTGGGCCCTTTGTAGGATCTCCAGTCTGTCTCAGGTCTCCGAAATCAGCAGCAAACAGGCCACCCCACGAAGGAGTGAGCCCCTCCCAGAGAGAAAAAGACTGTATCAGTACAGTCTCTTCCCTGGCACGGGGCAGCACTCCCTCTGCCCACCTGTGCCTATGCAGGTGCTTCTTTTCACCAACTCTTTCCCTCTGCAGGGCAGCAGCCTCCTGCCTGCCCGTGACCTGTACCTGCCGGGGCTTCTCCTCACTGACCTCCCTCAGCAGAGGCAGCTCTCCTCAGGGCCGCCCACCTGCGACCATGCAGGCCTCTCCCAGCAAACCTGTCCCTCTCAGGACAGCTCTTCCTGCCTGCTGGTGTCTATGCAAGTGTCCTTCATTCTTCTGTCCTTCCCTAATAAACCTGCCCTTTAACTATAACTAATGTCTCTGCTTCGTGGAGAAACTCGCCTGGGAAACTCACCACATGCCACTGAAAGGAGAGTCCTGGGGAAACTTTTCCCAGAGTGAACTCAAGGACCCCGCACCCCAAACCCTCCTACCTGTAACAGGATGGCCCCCAGGAAAGGGGGAGGTCCCAGGTTCCCTGCCCCACCCAAGGGAGGGTGGAGCTGAGCAGAGAGAGAAGAAGCTGCAGAGGAGACTGAGGAAGGAAGGAAGCAGGATGGAGCCAGAAGGAGACCTGGAGGAGGCACATGGAGCTGAGAGACACGTGAAGAAACTGCACTTGACTTTTGGTCGTGGACTGGGTGATGCAGATGTGGGTGAGAGACCTGTGGGGAGGTGACAATGGCGAGTTTCTCCATGAGATAGAGACATTAGTTATATTTAAAGGGCAGGTTTATTAGGAAAAGGAACAAAAACAGTTAAAGACACTTGCATAGACACAAGCAGGCAGGAAGAGCTGTCCCAGAATGGACGGGTTTGCTAAGAGAAGCCTGCGTGGTTGCAGGCGGGTGGCCTTTGCAGATCATGGGCAGGCAGGAAGCTGCTGCCCTGCAGAGGGAGAGAGTTGGTGAAAAGAGGCACCTGCACAGGCACAGGTAGGCCATGCTGCCCCCATCCAGTGCAGAAACTGCACTGATGTATTCTTCTGTTTGGGAGGGGTCAAGCAGGGAACCATGAAGTTGTGCCCAGATTCCACGACACCACAGAAACTGAACCAGTGAGTGTTGTTTTGAGCTGCTCTGCCTGGGGGTTATGTGTTATACATCAATAGAAACCCAATACAGTGATAAATATACACCCTCTTAATCCATAAATAAAAGAAAGTTGGACAGAGTATATTAACATCAGACAAAGATCTCAAAACAAAGATTATCAAGGATTACAAGTGTCATTTAATTGTGATAAAGCGGACAATCCAGCAGGAGGATTCCTGATAAAACTGTGAAAAGAAATAGCATATCCTGGGGCCTCCCTGTTGGTGCAAGGGGTTAAGATGCAGCAGCACTATGAAGCTATCCACACCTACTATAGTATGAGTTCAGTGCCTGGCCAGGGAGTAACCCACATGGTACAAAATGCCTCTCCTGTCTCCCTGCTGCTTCCCTCAGCAGTGGATTTCAGTCAATATGCCTGTTCTGTTCCCCAGCTTGTCTCTGGTAAATCCTCTCACCCCCCACACCTGTGGCCAGTACCCCAGTTCTTGCATGCATAAATAAATAAATCTTTAAAAAAAAAGAAATAGGGCCTCCCTGGTGGCACAGGTGGTTGAGCAAAGTGCTGTGAAGCTGTCCAGCGGGCCACAGCCTCTGCAGTGCCGGTTCGATACCTGCCGGCCTTGGAGCAACCCACATGGCGAGCAGACTTCTCCTGACTCACCAGCTGTTCCCCTCAGCAGTGTATTTCAACAATCTGCCTGTTCTGTTCCCTGCTCTGTCTCTGGTGAATCCTCTCACCCTCCCGCGCATCTGGATTGTACCCTGGCTCTAGTATAAATAGAAATAAAGAAATAAGACTGTGCGCGCAGGAGAGTGTGTCTCCGACTTGCCATTTTAGAACAGGGACCTTCCTTCAATAAAGTCTTCTTGAAACCAGCAGAAAGTTCCCCGTGGAGCCAGAGGTGAGCTGGGAAGCACCCCCATGCTAGGCCCCTTCTGGCCAACAGTCCGAGCCCAGAGGGGGAGCAGGCAGCCAAGGCTGGGGCAGACTGTGTGTGCAGGAAAAGTGTGTCTCCAGCTAGCCATTTTAGAACAGGGAACTTCCTTCAATAAAGACTTCTTGAAACTGGCAGAAGGCTCCATGCAGAGCCAGAGGTGAGCTGAAGGCCCTCACAAACCTGGTCCCCCCTGGCAGGGAGTTGGAGCCCAGAGGGGGATCCAGCTATTTGGAGCCCA